CAACACACACCCACACACACCCACACACACCAACACACACCAACACACACCAACACACACCAACACACACCAACACACACCAACACACACCAACACACACCAACACACACCAACACACACCAACACACACCAACACACCACAACACACACCAACACACACCAACACACACCAACACACACCAACACACACCAACACACACCAACACACACACACACACACCACACACACCACACACACCACACACACACACACACACACCACACACAACACACAACACACAACACACAACACACAACACACAACACACAACACACAACACACAACACACAACAAGCCAACACCCACACAACACCAACCCACACACCACACACACACACCGCCAACCACACAGCACACCAACACACACACCACCCACCACACAACACCAACCATCACACACCAACACACCACACAGAAATAAAAAGCCACACACCAACACACACATTCGCACCAATAAAAAACACACACCCAACACAAAAGAAGGTGAAATAGGAACCACCACACCCACACCAACACACACACACACACCCAAAACCCACAGTGAAGAACACCCACACACACACAACAAGAAACAGGCCACACCACCATCACGAGAAGCCACACAGCACACCACACACACGCCGAACACACCCAACACACACACCAACACCCACACACACACACACCACAGCACACACACCCACTCACACACACACACACCCACAAAAAACACAAAACACACCCACACACCAACACACCCACACACCAACACGCCCACACACCAACACACAAACACACCAACACAAAAACACACCAACACACCCACACTCCCACACACCAACACACCCACACACCAACACACCCACACACCAACACACCCACACACCAACACACAAACACACCAACACACACACACACCCACACACCAACACACCCACACACCAACACACCCACACACCAACACACCCACACACCAACACACAAACACACCAACACACACACACTCCCACACACCAACACACCCACACACCAACACACCCACACACCAACACACACACACACACACACACCAACACAAAAACACACCAACACACCAACACACCCACACACCCACACACCCACACACCAACACACCCACACACCAACACACCACACCACACCACACAACACCACACACACCAAAACCACACACACCAACACCACACACACCAACACCACACACACCAACACCACACACACCAACACCACACACACCAACACCACACACACCAACACCACACACACCAACACCACACACACCAACACCACACACACCAACACCACACACACCCACACCACACACACCCACACCACACACACCCACACCACACACACCCACACCACACACCCCCACACCACACACACACCCACACCACACACACACCCACACCACACACACACCCACACCACACACACACACACACACACACACACACACACACCGAGGATTTGATCATATGGTATGAGATGGACACCGTCTTGGCTGTCATCAACTGGGCCAACATCGCAGACAACATTCGTGGGCGAGGGTATGCATGCAATCAGGGTCCAGGATTGGTGCACATGCCACGAGCATCTGGTGCACGCAGGGATGTGCGTAGGCCACTTGTGCTCTTTTTGGTATGTCGTGAATGTTTATCACGTTCCCGTCGGTTCTCGCTCTCGTTTTCGCAGGACAATCGCCAGCGCTTCCATACAGCGGATTGAACAGCAAAGGCCCCAAGAACGGTGTGCATGCATTGCTGGTCTGTGCCAGGGGATCAGGCTTTTCTTTCGATGCCGGCCCGAAGTCATGTTGCACTGCCCGCGGCAAGCCAAATAAAAATGTGTTGGTCCAAACTGTTCACGTGCAAGTCAATTGCAAAGTGGTTGAACTGATGATACTTGGTGTGAACTTCGACACTCATGATGGCGAGAAGGCCGAGCAGATCGAATTGTTGTTGCGCGAAGTTCGCAGACAGCAAGCAGATGCATCTCGACAGGGGCATCTGTTCCAAGCCATTCTGGTTGGCGACATAAATGATCGAATCGTCCTTAAAACAGATGCTCGTCTTGATGTGGAAGTGGCCTACATGCGCCCCTGGACTCACATGCGGAAAGTCGTGTCCTTGACCAACAGGAGCCAAGCTATTCTGCGACACTTGCTTGTGACAAACCACGGGCGAAGAGAGCTGCTTTCGTGGGATGTGAAATATTTCGATGACACGGCTGTTGGTGGTGTGTCTGTACGCCATCCATCGCGCACTTTTTGCGACGCCTTTTTCTTGCAAACGGATTGGTGGCGGGAGAGCCAGCGTGACCCTGAACCAGTTACGTACAAGTACACTCCCTGGGACCAGCTAGTAGCTTCCGACATCGTAGATGACATTGCCAACGTCGCAAGCAGCACAGGTCGAAACCTGCACAACTTGAACGAGAGTCGCGACAGTGATGACGGTTGGGCGGTGAGCTTCGCGGAACTTGAAAGGGCACTAAGGGTAAGGGGCCGAGCAACTAACAGCCTCGATCCCACTAGCATGCCTTCATTCTTCATGATGTCGGATCACATTCCCAAGACAAAGTTTCAAGTAGAAGATGCTCAAACATATCTTAACTCGAACATGAAGAAGGACCCCGTGTACTTGTCATTTGGTTGGTTGGACTCTGTCGGCTTTCTCCGGCCAAAGCTTTCTGGAAATCTCGGCTTCGACATGGTGTTCTTGGACTTTGAAACAGATTTTGGAGTACGGGGGGGCGACCATGCTTTCACGCACGCGCGATTGTACCTGATGCCTGCAGGTGCCGTCCGCAAAAATTTTCTGGGCCAGTGGGTTTGGGCTATTGGGGGTGGGGCAGCTGTGCTGGGTCTACTGGTATGTGGTATGTGCAAGCACTCGAGACGATGCTGGAGACGCTCGAACACGGATTGAGATGGCGAAGACCCGGTGTCTCATGCTGAAGCCAAATCTACCCACGGCCCTGACTGCTTCAAAAGGCGATGGTGGTGGCCACTCTTGGTGCAGCGTCCTCAAGCAGTCACGCGGCAATGAGAGTAAAAGACAACGCCCCCAGCTTGATGCGTGAGCATGGCCAGCATGTTTCAACTCTTTTTGTGGGAGGTTTGTTCAGTTTTGTCGGTCTTTCGGGGTGTTGTGGACAGCTTCAATTTCTTAACTTGCGTCTGGTAGCCGGTAGCTGGTGCCAATGTCGGCGACTTGGAAGACAAGCTTGTGGCCCGAAGATGGGTTTCAGACGCCCTCTGCTCACATTGCTCCTGTCGCTTCCCATACTGACTTTCAGGACGTCGGTGCTGTTTTGCCTTAAACGGGCTTCACTTCACTCGGACGTTTTGGCAGCAAAGCTGCCCTTGTGCGGCTCCATGCCCCGATGGCGTTCCAGCGGTTGGGTGTCCAGTGAGCACCAGTTCGGCCAAGCCTGGTCGGCTTATCCAAGCAGATCTGGCTGGCGGGAAACGAGTCTACGCAAGGAAGGGGCGGACGACCGCCCTGCACACGACTCTGCTAGTGTGTGGTATTTTGGATTCGGTGCGAACATTAACCCATGGAAGCTACGAGAGCGGCGGGGCATCATACCATTGGCAGAGTTTCCGGGCAAACTTCCAGGTTGGAGGCTTCTTTTCAACCACAAGGGAGGTATGGGAAATATAGAGCGCTTGGATGCGGCAGATGATGGACCAGATGCAGTCCATGGAATTCTTCTGCAGCTTTCTGCCCGGGACTTCAACAAGCTCTGTCAGATGGAGTATGAGTACCGCACAGTGCAGATAAATGTGGAGTCGTATGATGGGAGAGTCATCTCCGCACAAGCTTTTGTTAGTCCACCTGAATGGAAGCTGCCAACCAATGTCGCACCACCAGAGAGATACCTCAAACTGATTCGAGATGGCTGTAAGGAGATGGGCATTGACATGTCGTACCAAGACTGGCTCAACTCAATAGCCAGCAACAGAGGCCGAAGAGGTTCCGAGTATTGGGACGCGCCTGCCAACAACAAGAAAAAGGCCAGATCCACCAGCCCGGTCCAGAAAGAGGGGCCTCTCAAGATTGGTGCGCTGTCAGCCTTTGCCGTGGATGGGTTGGTGGATATCGGGGCAAACCTAAACAAGTGCTCGTCACAAGATCTGGCTTCACAACTCCTGCGAGCGTCGGCCGCTAAAGTGGGCCACGTTATTCTTACAGGCTGCAGCTTGGTTGCATATGTTGCATGCTTCTGCTGTCAAGCGTCGTGCATTGGGAGTTTTGGTCTGCAGTTGATGGCCGTGGCAGATGGCAATTCCCCAAGCGAGGCAGTGTCAAGGGATCGAAGGACGCGAGCCGCATTTGCCAGGAATGGGCTGGGCAGGCCGGATGGTTATATGCCTTGAAACTCGTGGGGGCGACGGCCCAGAAAGAGCTGCTCATCTTCAGAGAGATTTTTTTGAGGTTTCGAGAGTCTGATGACCGCTGGCATGGCTGGCCTAGCATTGTAACATGCCTGGCCTCATCGTTGCCAGGATCCAGCAAACTGAGCTCAAGATGCTGCCGAGCCTGTATTTTACGGCTGGCGTCCACCCACACGATGCCAAGAGCTGCAATGTGGAGACTTTGGATGCCTTGCGGGCACTGGCAAATCAGACAGCCTGTGTTGCAATCGGGGAGTGCGGCTTTCTTGGGGCGAATTCAGGAAGAGCTTGCATTGTCCATAGTTGTTCTTCTGATTTCCAGATCTTTAATGGAGAGTTCGTTTGTTGGGGCCAGAATGAGGTTTGGACTATGACAGGATGTTTTCACCTCGGGATGTCCAATTGAATTGGTGCCGGAAGCAAGTCGAGCTCGCCGTGGAATTGCGAATGACTCTGGTTTCCAAGTCTTCCACACATGTTTCTAGTGCTTGTTTCTTGTGCAGGTGACGATTTGCTTTCCATAGTCCGACGTGGTTGGTAAATCGGTGGCATGCCCCCAGGCCTTTATTCCTCCATGAGCGAGACAGAGATTCAAGCAAGGGGAAGCCGCTTGGGTCTTCAGACGACCTCCTGAAGATCCTTGCCGAGAGCGGTGTGGATCCCAAGAAAGCTTGCATTCATTGCTTTACTGGTAAGGCGGAGGATCTGCAAGCTTACGTTTCCAAAGGTGGCTCAGACTCGGACTAAGAGCTCATATTTTTCAGTTTGTCTTTCGAGAAAGGATCCTCATAGAAGGGCAATCTCAGATGGCCTCGCAGACTGCAAGGCTACTTCATTGGTCTCACCGGCTTTGCGGGCATGAAGCGTCGTGGAGCACACATCCGCAGCCTCCTTCAAAATGGCGCGCTTCCCCTCGATCAGCTGATGATTGAGCTTCTTGGTTTATTTCTGGAATCATTTGGGCGGAACGGCATGTATGAATTCCAGCACTTGTGGGTTGGCTGCAGAGCAACTAATCAAGGACCTTTGTGGCCGCAGGGTTTTTTTGTCCAGGTATGACTGGTTTCATCCTTTCCATCCAAGGACAGATTGCCCATTCATGATGCCGGATAAGGAGTATTTGCCGGAGGCACTGGGTGTTCGTGGCCGTGGCTCGTCTGAGTTGTAGGTTTTTTGCCCGAAGTGCATTGAATGCCATTTAGGCTTTCTTTGGAAAGCGTGCGGGGTTGAGGGTCTCAGGCACCAATGAGCCGTGCTTCATGCCGGCGGTGTGCCGAGCAGTTGCCGAGTGCCTGGAGGCCCGCATCGCACGCTCTTGTTTTGATGGCTAGCGAGATTGATGCCTGGCAGGTGTCAGCCGAAGACGTTGCCAAGGTTACGACCACCAATGCTGTGCGCTTCTTCGGCTTGTGAACGCAGATGCCCCGCAGATGCCCCATGGCGCGGCCTTTCTGCCACCTTTGTACAGGCTGTACAGCTTTGGTTGTTGCCATTGAACCTGGGCTACAAAAATGCTCTGAGATGCTGGGTGTAGGCAATGTAGGCCATGAAACGGTGCACGAACAGTTGTTGCAAACCATCCTTGGCAGCTGGCTTAAGCTGATGTCAACTTCAATGTCTCGTCATGCAAGCGAGGCAGGGCTACAGTACGGTGATGCGCCAAGCCATGTCATCACTTTGGTCAGATGTATTTCGTCAGCCGCATGCGCGATCCTCCGCAGGAGGCCAAGTGGGGCAAAGTCAGGCAGGGATCGGATCTTACATTTTTCATTGAAGTCGGAATCATATTGCCGATGTCTTGCAAGCAAGAGCGATGACAGGTGGAGACCCCGATGTTCCAAGGCATCCCACCCATGTCATACCGTGAGAGTCATATCAGCATGTGTGAATGTCATTTCGCGCAGTGCGGTGTCCATACGTCCATGGGAGCGATCATCACCGCCTTCAGCTCAAGATAAAACTTTGGCCGTAGGCGCAGCTATGAGGGTGCGACGGCGTGCCTTGAAGGTCGCCAACGGGTTCGCAGCCTTGGCCTTGCTGGCCTGGCTTCCCAGTGTCGCCTTCCAAGCGTGGCGCCAAGGCCGCCAAGGCCGCGAAGGCAGCCTGGTGCCAAGAGGGCACACTGATCGCTCACGTCGCTCGCGTGCCATCAGGCTCGCGAGCCCGGAGGGGTCACCAGCAGAGGATGACCCAGACACAGGCACGATAAGTGGAGATGCAGCTGCAGATTGGCAAGAGTTTCGTGCCCGTCTGGTGCAACAAGAGCGGGGTGACCCGAATGTAGATGGAATCTCCCAGAAGAAGGCAGAGCAGTGGGCGTATGAGATGCCCGTCATTGAACAAGGATCTATCCTGTTATCCGCTCCGAATGATCACTTTGCCATCAACCAGCAGTACTTTCACAAGAATGTGATTTTTATTGTGACGCACACGGATGACTTCACCAAGGGGGTGATCTTAAACAGACCCACCGCCTTCAGCACTGTGGACGTAGAGACCAAGTTCAAAAACCTGGTGAACTTTTCCCACGAAGGTGCAGATGATTGGAACGTATGGTGTGGCGGCGACTGCCAAGGTATCAATGAGCGTGGTGACACACCTCCGGAGTATTCCGTGCTCCATGGCCTGCAGTCGCTGGCAGATCGAAGTGAGAAAATCACTCAAGGCGTATATTCGATAGGCCTAGAAGAGGCCAAGGAACTAGTTGCCACTGGAGAAGCAGACAAGGATGACTTCCTGCTACTCGTTGGCTACTGCGGATGGAGCCCTGGGCAGCTGCAGTCAGAGTTGGATCGTTCAAACACTTGGACAATGGCTTCCATAGATCCTCGAACACTTCTGGGTGAGCTCAGAACAGCCCAGTCCAGCCTGCGAAAGCGGATTCAGCAGGCATCCGCGGGCGATATCTTCACAGCGGAAGACGTTGGAGATGGCATCCAGATGTGGGAAAGGCTGTACACAGTCTTAGGGCCCACCTACGAACAAAGCCTTGCAGACTTCAACTCCACAGGCGACAATGACCACACGGACGAGATGCTCCGACGCTGGATCAACCGGTGCCTCATACCGGCTAGGTACAGCCCAGAGAGACTTCCCGAGTCCGAGGTCGTGAAAGGCCTGCAGAATGCGATGAAGTCTGTGCAAGGGGGCGCGCTCAACCACGGCACAGTCTTGCGCGGCTCAGCCACTGCGTGGTTACTTGGCAAACCGACCGAGGACGTGCAGTTCGACTTGAGGCGCTTCCTGCCGGGCCAATACTTCCACAAGTCTGTGCTGCTTTTGATCAAGCCTGAGGACTCTGACCGGAGTGAGGGGCTGCCAAAGTCACCCATGCAGCCATCAGTGGCCATGGTCGCCCTCCTCAATGGGCCACAGCTTGGAAGGGAGGGTGGAGGCAATGTCTACTGGGGTGGCCCTCAGGGTCCAGCCATCAAGCTTCAAGGAAGCGATGAGCAATTCCGCGGCTTCACGATCCTGTACCCAGGCATGCTTGAGCGACTGTTGGAGCTCGGGGCCTTCGAAGTCACGGACGTTGATGTCCGTGAGGTTGTGAAGGTTCCTGTGGAGGAACGCTGGCAGTTCGCAGGTGGTACTATCGACAGCCTGGCAGATGCCCGGTCTGCACAGCTGGGTGATGTGCAGAGAGATAAGTGGTTCAAGCGATTCCTGTTCAATGAGTGATTCTTGATGCTTGGGATCTTGAACCAACAGGGTCCATGTCAGATAGCCGTGTGGCACTGTCATGCCCACGCGATGGCTTTTCGGAGCCTGTGTACAAAGTTATTAGACGGTAGGGCCAGTTTCAACTTGGCGGCCTCAGAGCTCAATCTGCAGAGCTGCACTGCTGGGGGTGCCGCCGCGCCGGAGGTCCGTAGATTGAAGAAAGGGTGCGAAAATTGAGCAACACGCATGATGTCAAAAGCGTGTGCTCTGCTGCTTTCTGAACCCTTGCACAGGTTCGCGGGCCGTCTGATGGAACATGCGCCCGCTTACTGAGCGCCTTAGATGAAGGCTTCTTCGGACGTATGATGCCTGAAAGCTAGTCAGCTCACGGATCTGGAAAGGGAAGCAAAAATCGATGCGCGGTCACGTGCACTGGTGCTGCACGGCCAGAGTCTGGTGCTCTGTGCGTCCATTGCTTCGTCAATTTGCCTCCTTCGAGCTTCTCAGAGTTCCATGGAGTCCAGGAACTGCACCTTGCCATGGCGCAGCCGGTAGAACACGGGAATCACTCTGCCGCTCGGACAGTGCTTCTTTCAGCCGCCGGCGGCTCGGCAACTTGACCTCCGTTTTAAAATCCCACAACGGCATTTCTTCGGCTCGGTGCTTTCGCGGTCAGTGCACTCGCGGTGCTCCTTCCAAGTGTGAGAGGTGATCCTGGGAACTGCGGGTGCCGGCACTGGCCTGCTGAGTGGTGGGTTGCTTGGGGCGGCCTGCGGCACTTTGGCTTCGAGCATGCGTGTCCTTGTCCTAAGCACCGAAAGTCACTCCAGCCTGTTGCAGGGATCAGGGCTTTCAGGCTGAGGGTCCATGGCTAGGCGCACCGCTCGAATCGCACACAGAGACCATGTGAGATGAGTTGTGTTTAAGATCACTTGAGGTGCCATACCTGCAATCTTCACATTTGGCCTATCCATTCCCGTGGGAGCTGCTGTCGGAAGTGGCTTGGGAGCTTGTGCAGGCAAGTGCTTCAAGCGATTTTTTGCCTTTCGTGTGTGAGCCTTGGGAGTCCTGCGAAGCGTGCATCACATTGCAGGCAGCTTCCTGGGTGGTGGAGCTGGCCTCCTGAGCGGTGGCACAGTAGGTCGGGACGTGGATTGAAATTCAGTTCTGCAGCACTAGGCACCTTGATTTCGGGCTTTGATGTCGTGTGGAATGCTGAAGGATACTTGGTTGTGCGAAGAGTGAAGCACAAGACGTTCAAACTGGATGACGATGGGTCAGTGCAGGCACACTCGATGTAAACAAGGGTTCGTTCGAAGGTTGACCTGTCTCCTGCAAAGTGAGGGGCACATGCAACCTGAGGGACTTTGAAGTCCAGAATGTGAACGCGCGCACGCGCACATACACATATATGTGTAGGGCTATAGGTTTGGCTTTCAACACAGACGTGTAGTTCCTGGAGGCCCTGTGGGAGGCAGCGCCGCAAGCACGTCAACGACTTGTAGAATTCGGAGCATCCGTAAAGCAAGGAGTGGCAGATCCTTGGCAGAAAGCTCCGCCATGTTCACAGCTTAGCCGTGCATGCTTCGGTCGGGTGCTGCCGGGCTTAGCGCAAAGGATACCTTAGCGGACCTGCTGACCCCTGCGCTGGAGAAGGGGCTGCCGCCCGCCTTGGCTAAAACCTTTGCGGACGAGCGTGTTCCTCCAGCCATGGCCGCCTGCCAGCATCTAGTGGGCAAGCCAGCCCCACGATGCGTGCGGGCGCGGCTCGCACGGTGTAAGCGTTTCCTCATGTTTCCTCCCCAATCATATTTCTAAACGTTTGTCTTGTCAGTTGCATAGCACGGGTTCAAAAACTTGTCTTGTATTGTCTCAGCTTTTGTCACAATGCGTAATGTGGTGGACCTGCAGCAACATACAGCTTCAGACAAAACGCACACGGTGTGATAGCAGCCAGGCGCAGCTCAGTGGCCAGCAGCATTCCCAAACGTTTTCACGCTTCATTGTTCGGCTTCTCGTCCTTTGCGCCATGGCCTCACCAATCGGTCGATTGCGGCTGCCAGGCGGGATGCCAGTTCTTAACAGGAGGTCACACGGATCTCTCGGATTTGTCAGGCCGGATGCTCTGTGGCCCTCTGCAGGTTCGGTGCTTTGCAGGCGCCGGCTGCAAACAAAGTTCTGGCTAAACGATGCTGAAAGGATGCTGAAAGGATGCTAGAAGCATGGTTCGGTGATGCTGGGATTGTTGTTGCGGAGCCGAGAGGCTCGGACAGCGACTTCCTCACGGCCAGTGCAGTGACAGATGTTGCACGCTTGGGCGGCGCCATCGCAGCGCGGGTTCGCCAGGCATTGTGGCTTCTTGACAATACTTGACAGCTGAACGGCACAGCTCAACCGCACTGCTATTGCTGCTATTTCTGGCGACTTCTTGACGAATGGAAATTGTGTGCATATCTGCAGAGCTCTTGCAGAGGCTGGCAGCACATCAATTCGCAACTTGGCAGCGACTGTAGTAGGTGTTATGGTCATAGAGACCTCGTGCTACAAATTGAAGCTGCCTCAGGCTGCATCGGTCCAAAAGCTGCTTACAAGAGTATCAAGTCCATCGTTTGCGCCAGCGATTTCTTGAGTCGAGATCCAGATGCTCCCGAAGACAGTTTTCTGGGAGTGGCAGTGTCAGAGAACAAGAAGGCACCAAGTGGAAGCTTGGTTCCAACAAATGGCCTTCTGAGCCTTTTGTTTTCCTTGGCGGCTATATGCGATATGTGAACTATGTGAGCTCTGTGAACTGAAAGCTTTGACCAAGGGAACGCCGGGTCGGAGGCCCAGGGCAATGAGATGCTTCTTCGCGTGCGGCCGGTACATCTGCCGGCGGATGCTTTCCGGAAGAAAATCAAAGCGGCCTCTGACAGCCATCCGGAGCGGTCCATGGACCTGCTCATCGGTGCCACGACGCAGCCCGGCAAGGCGGCTGCAGCCATGGCCGGCGCTCTGAGGCCGATGGGAGGAAGTCATGGCAAGTACCCGTTGATCAGAGGCATTGGAACCGCGGCCGTTCACCGTGCGCTGGTTTCTGCCCGACTAGCCCAAACCTACTTAGACAACGACGGTCGGGGAGTTCGATTCCTGGTGGTGCCCAGCTTTGAGCAAGAGCCCTCAACGCAAACGGGTTCAGGATATCAGAACCAGCTGGTCATGAGGCTTGTGCGATGGAAGGGGACGGACGACGGCACGACAAAGGAATAGAGTGGCCATAAAGCCTGATTCGCTCGCAACATGCTTGGCTCGTCATGTGCAGCATTGACTGAACAAGGCGTTGAAGTGCTTTCGATGCATCTGGCCAATCGCCCAAGGTTCTCATGATGGCGCGCATCATGAATGATGACGACTTCAAGGTGCGGATGCAAGCGTGTGAAAAGCCAGGCTTGTGAACCTTACTTGTCTCAGGTGGTCATGAAGAAGTTTAGCCAGGCTGCCATGTCCGACGAAGAGCTTGTGAGCTCGATCAAGGTGCGGGGTGCTTGCAAACGAGGAGTTTGCGGAAAGCAACTCTCTTGGCGCTCCTGCAGGCTGTGATTCAAGATTCCTTGCGAGACGCGGACATGCCGCCCAGACATGTCACATGAGAATCACGGTGCATGAGCGATTCGAAGGCCAATCGGAAGCAGCGCCTTTCTCCGGGAACTGAGGTACAAGTCAGCCATGCATGGGGTGGTTGGAAGCTTGAACCCTTTCAGAAGGGAGCACGATGTTTCACCAAGGCCAAGCTAGAGCGGTCTTTCTACAAAGTGGAAAGGCATGGCCTTGTTAACATACCGGAAGCCCATGACGTTTTCTCGATTTTGTGGAAAGACCAGCCTGCTACACGTTCAGCCGCCACCTCGCCATTGAGTTCAGCATCTGCTTTGCTTGACGCACTATGCAGCTGCAATTGGACTCTGGCTGCCAAAGGGCTGTGGGCTATGGGGCTCTTTTGTTTTGGGAGTTGAAGCTGCGCGAATACCCGCATTAGGAATATGACATGCTCCGCGGCGTTCTTGCGCTCTCAAGCCATCCCTAGCTGCTTGAGTGTGGCTGCGCCCAAGAACTATCGATGAAGTTGCTGGCGGGCCCACACGAGCACAGTCCACACGATCATGCTGATGTTGAGCTTGCCGAATATGTTGCTGTTTCAGTCTCTGCAGGGCAACAGGAAAAGCAAGAAGCAAAAGCTGAGCTTGAAGCACCTCGGCCAGAAAAGCAGCTGCACGGAGTGTGTTGGTTCCTTGCATTCCATTTGCCCAACTTCTGATCGTCCCAAGATACAACATCCAGAAGAGAATCCGTGAGCACAAGCGACGGGTGAAGAAAGAAGCAAAGAAGCTGGGGCTCAAAAAGCGAGTGAGAAAGGATCCAGGAAGCTTGGCTGAACTTCTAGATGAATTTGGACTGAAGCTCTCGTATCCGAGACGATCCGAGACGATCCGAGACCTTCCATTGCTTTGCCAGCCGTGCGCGAGTTGTGAGAGTCGAAAGCCGCAACCGAGGAATTCCCAACACTTTGCCATGGAAGGCGTTCCGCAGCTCCTCTCGGGAGGGCGAGTCCCAGTGTTCTGCTTCTGTGTTGCAGGCCGAGCTGCTGGCAGACATTGAGGCCAAGAAGGCCAAGCGCGAAGAAGAGCTCGCCAAGAAGAAGCAAGAGGTGGCCTGAAGTCCCACGTGTTCTGATGTTTCCTCGAATCTTTGCGCTGATTTTTTTTGATCTTTTGTTTGCCTTTATTGAGATACATTCAGCCCCCCTGGTGCTTCTGCTTCTGCACTTCTTTTGACTCATTTGCGCAGTGGTCATGAAACATGTAAAGGTGCTGCAGAAACCCTGCTCGCGTAAGCTAAAAGCCCAGTGTAAGGCACGCGTATATAACGGTCCGCGTAAGCGACAAGTTTGACCGCGTTCCGCGTGAGCTTAAGTAAGCTAAGTTGTTTGGGGTGGGCTTCGGCTTCCTTCTGAGCTCCCCGCTGCAGGCTTGATCAGGAAACGGTTGAGGGGCCAAGGTCTTCTTCAACAACATAGAGTACCACATACAAGTTATTAGTGCCCTCAGAAAGCCCCTCAGATCCACTATATTGCAAACATCACCCTCAAAAGCTCCATTTCCGCGTAAGCTCCCCGCCTCCGCGTAAGCTCCGCGTCAGCTCCACGCAAGCTCCCGGTAGGCTACGTGAAAGCTCCGTGCAAGCTCCGTGTAGGCTGCGCGTAAGCTCCGCGTAACCTCCGCGTAAGCTCCGCGAAAGCTCCGCGTAAGCTCTGCGTAAGCTTCGCGTACGCTCCCCGCAAGTTCGCGTAAGCTCCGCGTAAGCTCCGCGCAAGCTCCGCGCAAGCTCCGCGTACGCTAGCTCTGCGTAAGCTCCGTGTAAGCTGCGCGCAAGCTCTGTGTAGACTCCGCGTAAGCTCCGTGTAAGCTCCGCGTAAGCTCCCCGTTAGCTCCGCTTAGGCTCCGCGTAAACTCTGTGCGCAAGCTCCGCGCAAGCTACACGCAAGCTCCGCGCACGCTTCCCGCAAGCTCCGCGTAAGCTCCGCGTAAGCTCCGCGTAAGCTCCGCGTAAGCTCCGCGTAAGCTCCGCGGAAGCTCCGTGTAAGCACTGCGTAGGCTCTTCAGCTCCGCGTACGCTCCGTGCAAGCGCCGCGTAAGCTCAGCTCTGCGATGCTCTGCGTAAAAGCTCCGTGTAAGCTCTGCATAATGGTGCCGGTGTTAATTTGGACCGGTTGGCCATCCATCCAGAAGCTTAGAAAACCGCTTGCCTTTTGTTCGAGAGGGGGGGTGGGCATCGTGGTTATAGTTTGGGGATTGCAAGGTTGGATTGCAACCTCTCACTTTTGACACCCGCATCTCGCGCGTGCCGCCCACATGATTGTCGGAGGCTTGCGCATTACAGGGAATGCTGACGGCACCAACCGCAGCACAACAGTTTCACGCAGAACTTCCACGATGGGTTTTGAACGCCGCTCGTTTGGACTCTGTTCTGGATTTTCGCGGTGCAGGCGAAGAATAAGGTGAAGCAAGATCGACTTGATCAACAAAAGCAGTCACAGGAGAGGGGGCATGATGCTGTGGCATCTTTGCCCGAAATCCATACATTTCTCAAAGGCATTTGCCAGCTGCGTTTGAGGAAATGCAGCAGCAAAAGGATGTGGAGCGGCGAAAGAAGCGAGCTGAACAGGTGGCTCCCCACACTTGGGCTTGCGGGAGTTGCATGGGTTGGTTGCAGTAGGGCAAGTGGGTGGACAAGAAACTGGAGGCCTGGTTCTGAGTTCTGAGTTTCACATGGCAGGTGTTGATGTCCCAGCTGGAAGCGCTGCGGAAGTTGCTTTTGAGCCACAGGCAGCAAAGAATTTACAACAGGCACTTGCGTGCCCTCCCTATGCACAGCCGATGCATTCCATTCATGATGTGTTGAGGGTGTATAGTCGTGCTGAGGAAGGCCGATGTCCTGCTTCAAACGCTGGATGCACGAGATCCGCTCTACTGCAGGTGCCCGGAGCTGGAAGCCTGGGTCAGAGAGACGCTTTCCAGCATCCGCCAGCATCAGCCAGCTATGCAGAGTTTCCTTTTCCTTGCACGAGAGACTTCGCTGCAGAATGTAACGTGCGGCCCACGGCAGTTGAAAGGACTGGGAAGCGCTTGGTCTACGTGCTGACAAAGGTGGACCTTATCTTGCCACAGCAGGCTGCAGACTGGATGCAGGTCCTTGGCCCACTGGGGCCGGTGGTCTGCGTGCAGGCTTCCTGCATGCAGTTTCTCCAGTTCGCTTGTGCAGCAATCCCCTAAAACAGCCCAAAACCAAACTTTCACATTCTGGAGTTGGCACTCTGTCTGCACATGGCTTGTGTCAGGGTTGTGGACTAAAGTCTGTGGATGCTGTGCCCATGACCCCTCTGCCCGCTAACCAGCTTCGGTGCCCGGGGGAAGAAGTCACGGAATGCTACTTTGAGAGCATGATGATAGCATGATGATGATGGGAACCAAGGTTGAAGCTGGCGGGGAAGGAGTAGCTCAGCTTGTCCAGATGCTGGGCTTCGGGCCCGGTGCAAAGGAAGAGCCGACTCAGCAGGTGGGCATTCTGGGCTACGAAGGTACTGGCAAGAAGTCTCTCCTCAAGGCGCTTCGGAGAGAAGCTCCCGGGTCTACCCGATGGCTCCTGGAATCTGTCGGTCGATTGCGACCTGCTGACGATCCAGAAGGGGAAGCGGCGGCGGCTGCTATGTTGCACATGGCCACGCGGGGCTTGCTGGCCAGAGGTCGTGCATCCGAAGGCCAGGGGTCGAACATGTCGAACATGTCTGTGTCTGCCCCATCTGATCCCTTGTGCTATCCTCATGGGTCCGGCCATGGCTGCTCAATGGCTGCTCATTGACGCAAGGCCCCTCTGCAGAGCCCCTGGATGTGGTGCGACACCTCCTCAACCGTGCTGGCGTGCCGGTGGTGATGCGGCGGTATCGGCTCCCGGCGTTTGACGGAGCCGAGGGGTTCCTACAGGCCGTGGGCTTGAAACAATGGCAAGTTCATGAGGGCAGCCTTTTGGTTGAAGATCTAGGTGTACCGTTGACTTGTAAGGTGTGGGCGAAGACGTACAACATCAAGACAAAGAAGGGCAAAGCCCCAGGTCCGAATTTTGCAAATATGCCCGGGAAAGACATGAGTGAGTGTGTGCATGTGTGTGCTGTGCCACTGATGAAGAGGCGTGGAGTCTGCCGCGCAACTTTTCCTGCAGCAGCTTGCCGTGGCTCCCTGCTGCAGCTGCCTGCCACCAGCACAACTTGCTGATGCGCAGCCCAGCCTTTGGACAGCGCACTCCTCCCGCCCTTCCATGGAGGCGGTGCCTTTGCTGAAGGGCCGGAGGCCCCGCGCTGGGCCCCGCTGGGCCCGCATGCTCCCGCATGCTCCCGCATGGTCCCGCATGGCCCCCCGTTATCGACGACACACTCCTGGAACTGTGCTGAGGTGATGAAAACTCAGCTGGGCCTTCTGCGATCGCGCGATGGCTCCTCAAGTTCAGCTGCGCGGGGATTGAGCTTGCCCTCGCAAGGGCTGGGGCCAGGTGTGGCGCTGAAGGCAAGAGCCTGCAAAGGAACTAGCCGCCCCAAGGTAAAATTAGATCATACCATTCATCCCGCAGCCAAAAAAACAGGAGTTAATGGAAGATGATGGGGCCAGCGAGGACGACGACATGCAAGACGGCAAGCCCGCCAATTTTGTGCCTGCTGCCCATCAGTGTTCCGTAAATGTGCTGGTAGGTTTTTGGGCTGACGCTGCAGGTGGTGAAGAGGGGGAGGAGGAAGAATGGATGGAAGGAGATGAGGAGGAGGACCTTGAAGACGATGCCATGGAAGATGACTAGTCCGGCGTGCCTGTGAACATGCCTGCTAACGCCCTTTTGCACGCCTGTCAGTCTAGCCGCTGCAAATGCAGACCTGGCCCGGATTGATTTTGTGTGTGCATGTGTATATCGGATGGAACTCTGCGCTGCTTTCTGCATCTGGCAACCTAACCTCCAGTCGTATACCGTATATTGAGAGTACTGGTATATCATTCTGTAAAGTCAGAAAGCACGTGCATTCAGCGTGGCAGCAAGACTGCGGCGTGCCACTGGCGCAGTTGCAGCATGCCACGTCGCGGGCAGCGGCTGAACGGATCCATGACCAGAAGGCTGCAAATACGTGGAACCTGCACGTTGAACGCATTCTGCTATTGACCCAGGGACGCACAGATGCGTGAATTCGCAGTCAGCGTCCACTTCAATTTTGTCGCTTAACAGCTGAGCCAACTCTTAAAGAAAACCTTGGTGTATCATTAAAGGAAGCAAGCATTATGGAGGCGACGTGTCCAGGCAAGAGACTGCTTATTGCAAGCTAGCAAGCAGCACGTCAACAAGCAACACGTCAACACGTGGTCCATGAAAGTCTGACTCACACCTTAGATTCTTCGACCCGAGAGCTCATGGCTGCTTCGCCATGTGCTTCCGGGGACTGCTCCACAAAGCGTCGAAAGCATCGAAGGGCCTGGCCATCTCTAGCTTGGCTAAGCACCTGGTCTGCATACAGGAGAAAAAACAGGTGCAGGTGGAGCGAATCGCAGGTTGCGTCGGATGTTCGGATGTGTTCAGCCATGTTCAGCCGAGGCGTGACCGTCGCAGGATGCTCTTCATGCAGCTTTGCCGTGGTCAGCTTCTGCGGCCTTGCAGGTGTGGCGGTGGCATGCGGTGGCTCTTCGCTCTTCCGACTTTTTTCTCCAGACGCGGAAGATGTTGTGCACGTGTGCACGTGACGAGGATCTTCCAACGGTGGGCGAATAGCCTGCCCTGCCAAGTCCAAGGATGGGAGCCGCATTGGCTGCAAACAGTCATGCCAAAACAAAGTCCAAAGTCAAGTGTGTTGGTTGCCTTCATGTGCCATGTCTTCAGCCGACCGGTACCTGTGCCCAAAGCTTTGACCTTTCAGGTCAAGACGAGAGCCTCTTGGCCTGATGAGCAGTAGGCCACATGAGGATAGCCCGCAGCTCGAGAAGTGCTCAAGAAAAAAGCACCCTTAGGTTTAGATACAGACAAATTGGTCTTCCTCGATGAAGAGGCGCCATGTGCGGCGTGAGTGCCGCACCAAGTAGCTGCAGGCTGCCAGTCAAGACATGCCCGAAGATGCCTGAAGAACTCAGAAAAGGGCACTTGTTTAGCTTGATGTTCCAGATGTTGCAAGACAACACCCACGAACTAGCTCGTTCAGCTCTTGGTAGGACTATGTCCGGCTCTTTCGCACAGAGCTCGAAGAGCATGCGCGACGAGCAATCTTTCGCAGGAAGAGGCGTGGTGCACTGTCAAATTCACCGAGGGACGCAGGAGCATGAGCATTCCTGACACTAAGGTGTTTCCTTCCTTTTGAAGATTGTGTCAAGTGGGTGCGCGCCATGGGCCTTTGGGACAACCAGGAGGAGTGGGAAGAGTCCCCTGGCAACTGATGTGGCTTCAGTGTGTTGCGTGAGATGGAACTCTTCTGCAAGCATGGTGGCGGGGTCATGGCTCCAGTGTTTCGGACTTAGACTAGACTAGCCTAGACGCAGAACTGTCAGGTGGATTCAAATGGGTGAGAAGCGGAACCCATACATTCCAAGCCGCCCAGAAAAATACTATGGAAGCTTGGCAGCCCCCAGGGTACTGCAGATGCAAGCCTTTTTGTTGGGGTATAAGGGGGTTAAAAGGGGGTAGAAGGGGATGTAAGCGGTGAGTAGAAAGGGCTCAGGGGGATGGCCGATTCCTTTCGTTTTCTTTTTTTTGGCGTGCCTGAGGAGATCTGAGTCAATGGAAGGGCTGGGAATATTTCTTGGGAGCTGCCACTGCTGGGCCGACACAGGCACGCGGCACGGGGCGCGGGTGCCTTCTCTTCGCCACGTGTGGTTGCACCATGTTGCGCCCCCCCCCCCCCCCTTGGCGCCACCTTACTCTCTTCTACACCTTGAAGCAGGCGGCCAGCAAGGAGCATGAGCAAGATGCCTCAGAATCTTCCAATGATGAGCGCGGCGAAGACAGTGAGACACCTCACTAAATCTTTGTTCAAATTGTTTGTTGCTTTGATCTCTGCCTGCTGCAAGATCTGAATTGTTTTCCTTAGCCGGTGGCTTGGGCTGACAGCTGCTGGAGGAATCTGCCGATATTTGTTCGCAAGCCTTTGCAAGCTTCAGATGGCCCATCCTCGGCCCGCTGTCAACCCAGAGCTGAATCATGTCAGCCCAGTTTTCGTGAGTCTGGAGGAGAACTCTTTGGTCCCATTGTTCGGAGGCCTGGGCAGTCATAGAGGTTCCATAGGTTCCATGTCGCGGGTCGGCGCACCTCCGCAACCCCTCAACCCTGACTCATGCCAAACCCCAAACCCTCGAACTTTATACTGGGGGGCTAGAGGGGTCCAAGGCGGGGGTGGCATTGCACCGTAACCGGGGTTGTGTTTTGCACTGGCCTACTTTACTTGCAGTCCTTCGTCGGCTGTGACTGCCCTTTGCCTCCATGTTTCAGCGATTGTTCACCGACGCTGCGCAAGCCGAAGAAAGTCGTAGCCAGAGGTTGAACGACACGCTGTGCAGCTACGAGTGACACCACAGCACTTGAGTCGAAGTCGCACGTGGGGGCGTTTCCGCGTGGCAGATAGTCAGACACTCAAACGCTCAGACAATCAGATGAGACCCAAGTCCACACCAGCAGAGGACTCACAAGCCCCTCCAGCAGGGGACCCACAAGCCCCACCGCCAGGCGACTCAAAAGCCCCAACGCCAGCGGACGCAGTCTAGAGTCTTTTCTTGATTTCACCCCCTCCGTTGGTAGTGCAGGAGTGAACGGGAAGAAGCACCTTATAACACCCTGTGTCTGGGTCTAGCAGATCCGAAAGAGGAACTGCAGCGGAGGCCCTCCATTCTTGAACAAAGTGGAAGGCTTTCAGAACGGGATCAGGAAATACTTGCAGCAGCCAATGCACAACAGAGCACACACGCTCAGGCCGGTGCGCCCGAAGACCAAGCACGAGCCCAGCTACTGGTACACGGGTACACCTCGCAGTGCGAAGTTTCGATCTCTTGAAAAGGATTTTGACGATACGGACGGGAGAGACCTCCCCGCCTCGACCAGAAGGATAGAACGGCTCGAGGCGCAAGGGGGAATCTCACTTCTTTTCTCCATGACCCAGCCCATCGTCCAGCTCGTCCTGAGCGATGGGGCTGGGCCAAGGGTGCCAGCCCGTGGTCCTCGAAAGCGTCGCGACCGCCTTGATCTCGTGCTAGTTCCGACGCAGCCTCTCTCAGTCGGAGGGCATCTGTGCATGTTCTGCGCCTGTTCCCGATGCTTGCACAGCGTGGGATCTGCTTGCGTTCTCAGGCCATCTCACGCCACAATGGCTTCTACCAGCCGAAGTATGGACGATTCCAGCTCGTGTGCAGGGTGCTGTACGGCAAGACTGCGCTGAGCAGCCAGAAGTTCCCATGCTGCAGTTCTCGCATGGGACAAGGTGAGATTTGCAGTCCCAGATGGACAAGCATCTCTCAACAGCAAGTTCGCTAAATGGCGAGCAAGCTAAAGAAAACTCTGAAGCGGCCTACAGCCAATCAGGACAGGCAAGCCTGACGTTGGCGCGTACTTTTCTTGTTTCTTGCAAAGTGTATTCTCTGTGAGCGACCGGCGCGGTGCGGCCCTAGGAGTGCAGTTCCCGACAACCTCAAACCTTAACCGAAGCCTAGTTCAGAGTTCCGTTCTAAATTCCGCAGAGCTCTTCCTACGTGTGCGCAAGCCCATATGCCGTCCAAAATACGGAAGTTGTCAAAAGCTGTCAGAATGCTGTGTAAAGTCATTTGGTCAAGGCTCTGTTTGACATAGCCTGCTGTCACAGGGGCCTCATGCACAGCAGAGACAACGGCTTGTACGTTCACAGTCTTGCGTCAATTATACCCAGACGAAGCCATTGCCATCTGCAGAAGAACTACCAACCGGCGGAGCCGAGCCATTGACTTGCAGCAATGGGTTGATTGGGTAAGGCAGAATGCTCCCAGTGCCACTTGGCGGCCTTGTGTGTTTCAGCAGAACCAGCTTGAGAAAATCTCTCGGCACCGTCGCCAGGGCTGAGGAGGAGACGAATGTTCGCGTAGCTGCCAGAGTTCGGCCACTTCTACCTCGGGACGTAGCGCAGATTCTGGACAACAGTGCGTCTTTATCTCCCTTTGCATGTGCATGAGTGTGGGGGCCCATGTGGTTGACACGGGCGCTGGGCAGACTTGCTACCGTGAACTTTAGACAATCTCAGGAACTACTGCAGCTGTGTTTCTGCGCAGCCTGGGACGAACCAGCTCGTTGTTGGCACCAAACGTGCATTTACGCTTCTTGGTCGCACTCCCCTGATTTTGAGCGGCACAGTTTCCCCCCGCCCCCGTGAACAAACAGCCGGACAGTGAAGGTTTGACTTGGTTTTTGAGACGGATGCAAGCCAGTCGGCCGTCTATGATGGCTGTGTGTCATCCTTGCTGGATGGCTGCATGTTGCTTGTCGGCGTTTAGAGCTTGCCATGTCTCACAGACGTTGTGGTTGAATCTTGGTGAGTAGGTTCTGCATCTCAGGCAGGGCTACAATGCAACCGTCTTCGCTTATGGCCAAACAGGCCTGGGTGTGGGACACAGCTACAGAGAAGCTCAGGTCAAATGTGGCTGCTTCAGGTTCGGGCAAAACCTATACCATGGGTACTGGACAGTGGGTATCGGAGGGCAGCACCGAGGAGGGCATTGTTCCGAAGGCAGGGTGTGCTTCTGCACAGGGGGGCTTAGAAGGCTCTGGGCGTTGAGGCGACTGGGCTTTGCCATTCTGGAAGGTCCTTCGGAACAGCTTCCGGCACATTGAGGCGAACAGTTCGACCATCGACTTCAAAGTTCCAGACTTGGCAGATCAGAGTGTCTGCATCATTTTTAAAAGGCGATGGAAATTGGCCTTTTTTGTGGTGTTGTGTGGTGTGACTTCACGAGTGAGGTTTCTTGCTGCTACTTGGAGATCTACAACGAAGACATCCGTGACTTGTTGCAGCCTGGAGGCCCTGTTCTCAAACCAGCTGTGTTGTCAAGTTGTCGTGCAAAAGAAGCAAGAAAGTCCACGCATTTTGCAGGCCAGAGAGGCCCCATTGCCATCAGGGAAGATGCTGCCGGTGGCATCAAGGTCTCCGGTATCCACGCAGAGACGTGCACCTCTGCGGAGGAGATGTTGAGTTGCCTCAGCGATGGCTCCGTGCAAAGAACCACCGGGGCCACACTCATGAATGAGCACAGCTCGAGGCCTTCCCAAAACATGCCACAGACGTGCAGACTCAGTGCAGACTTCGTCTCGCTGCGTGGAACATGCGGCTTGTGACTTGTGGAGGTCCCACTCCATCTTTACCCTCATCTTGGAGCAGCGCCGCCGGATAGGAGGAGGGGATGCCTGGAGTGAGGATGACTACGTGACGGCCAAGTTTCATCTTGTCGATCTTGCGGGGTCTGAGCGCGCGAAACGCGCCCCAGCTGAACATTGCACAAGCATCTCAATACATGTCAGGACCTTCAATGTGATGTGGCTGCTTTTCAGATGGCTGAGCAAAGTTTTTGAGGCACTGGCGCCGTCGGCAGCCGCTTCAAAGAGAGCATTGCCATAAACTCTGGCTTGCTCGCGTTGGGCAACGTGATTTCTGCCTTGGGGGATCCTGCAAAACGAGGCACGCAAGCAGAACGGATTGCCAGGGAGAGCACTGGGCGTTAGCCGTTGGCATGCGTGAACCAAGAAGCTGTTTGTCTCTTTTTGACAGGTATCCACGTACCGTATCGCGAATCGAAGTTGACGAGGTTGCTGCAAGACAGCCTGGGCGGGAACTCAAGAACCGTGCCTGGCTTGTGATTTTCCTGTTTGGTTGTCCAGCATGTCAGAGGGCAATCGGATTTGCAATTGCATTCTGTGAATGAGCCAAGAGAGCGACCGACGGGTCTTCGGCTTTGCTAGGTGATGATTGCTTGCGTCAGCTGCGCTGACATCGATTCGGAAGAAACGCTCAACACCCTGAAGTATGCGCACCGTGCTCGCAACATCAAAAACAAACCTGCTTCTTGACTGCACACCACAAGATGAACAGAGATGCAAAGGAGGTGTGGACGTTCCTTATGCGACAGGTGGTCAATCACGACCCTCGCACCGCGCAGCTGGCTGCCATGCAGGCGGCTCCAGAGCTTTTGAGAAGAGTCCCCTCCCCCCAATATCAAACCCCCCCCCCATACACTCGAATCTAACTTTAATGGGAGAATTTAATATAAGGGGTGGGGGGGGTGTAGCAGTTAGGGGCAGGGGCCGCATGCTCCCGGAGTATGGTCAGCTGCTTGCGTCGCGGAAAGACCAGGACGAGATCGTGGCCTTGAGGGAGCAGCTTCAGCGCGCCAACGAGGGCTCTTCCCTGGCTGTTGCAGGCTATGTGTTCGGCGCAAAGTCAGCTCGACATAACACATGCCATGCTGTTCTTGCTTTTGAAGTGCTGGCACAGGCCCGGGCCCGGCACAAGAGGAGATGATGGAGCTCAACCACAAGCTGGAGGCTCGATGACAAACCTAGGAGAAAAAAGCCGTAGGCCCGTGCCAAAATGCATGGGATTCTGCATGATTCTGCTTGTGGCCCACCGTGGGCCTGGATTACATGCGCAAGGCCTCTGAGACTCGTTCCGCAGAGCTTGCCGAGCTCCTGGCAGCCACGGAGACTTGAAGAGTTCAGTTGTGTGGATGCAAAGAAAACAAAGCTGAACACACGTAACGTAGAGTTTATGCAGGAGACAGAGCGCGAAGCCTTTCGAAGATACTTGGTGGACATGCTGCCTGACTCAATCAGGACCATTGCAGAGCCACGCAACCAGGCAGTCGTACGCAATAAATCGAGGTACTGCGCTGTTTGCCACCACCTCCCAGCCATCTGGCAGGTGATCTCCAGATAACCCTAAGCCTAGTTGGCGCCACGGACGTTTAAACATGTCCGGAAGCTGATCCGTAATCTTCTCCATGCGACATGTGGCCTGAGAGGTCTCGACTCGTGAAGCTCCAGCGGTGCCTGCCCGACGGGCCCTGACAGCCGTCTGCCAGGTTCTGCAGGCGCGCCCGCCACTTGTGGCACATTCCATATATTTCCCTAGGCCGCATGCGTCTGCATGTGCCTGTGCAGTGAATGCTGCCAGCGTGTGTCTTCCTCCCTTAAGGCAGCGCAGCGGCTGCTCAACAGTGCCACGGCAAATGTCATGTCATGCCAAGTTGTCAAGTTGTGTCGAGTTATGTGAAGTTGTGTCATGTCGAGTTTCTTCAGTGCGTGTGACAGTAGGTGAAGCAGAACCGCCAGCAGATGCGTTGGACACGTCGCCGGATACCATGCCGGTGGATGCGAGCCAACTCCCGTCCCCGCCGTGCCATCTTATCCAGGAGCATGGGCTTCCACTTTCCTCCGCGTTCCACTTGTTCCGTTACATACACCGGTTTCGTGCAGGAGCAACCGCCGGAGCTTACATCGGGTGAGCCTGCTAATGGCATGCCATCTCTGTCAACCACTGCACCGCAACTGGGAGAGCCGTACAAGCTCCCGCCCCTGGACTTGGCATGGCTGCTTGTGCTTAGCCGGCTGTGCTTGTGCTTTGATAGTGCTATGGTTTGCGGCCTGGGGAGACGGTTACGGACCTGGTTTGTCATCAGGTCTCTGGCAGAGATGCGGAAGGACTCGACAACGCTCATCCGCAGGTATCTGGACGAAATGAAGCGCATGGAGACAGAGCTGGCGCTGTACCGGAGGCGCACCAGGCAGCTACAGGAAGATCTGAAGGAGGCTCGGGATGACTTGCAAAAGGACGAGGAAATCTTCGAAGAGAAGATGCGAGAGATGAAGGACCGCAACCGTCATCTCATCACATCACCCGGCAGAATAGCCTAGAAGAGGTGTGTGCCTGTGTCCTGCCAGGAGTTGACGGACCGCAACGCCTTTCTGGAACAGGAGATACAGAGGCAGAGAAAACCTCTCAGCCTGGACTCACGGACGAGCAGTAAGGAGGGCCCGAACTTTTTTGCCATCCAACTCAGTGCCCAGACCGCTTTTGGCTTTACTTTCTGCGCCCTGAATCCCGTGATGCTTCTCTCTCTCTCTCTCTCTCTCTCTCTCTCTGGCTTTTTCCTCAACCAAGGCCCTTGACTGTATATCTGGTCACTAAAGTCTGTCTGTAGTGAGTTTAGTCATGAGTGTGCCGCCGAGCCAAGGCGACTTCGAGGATGGCCCGGCCATGAGTTCGACGGCACCCCCTGCACCTCTTCCGCCAGATGACGGGTCAGAGACCGATTCCTCCAGACCATGCGACGTGCAGGCAGGGTGCATGCAGCGTGGTCTGCCATGCAATCTGTGCCGTTCTAGGGGCTGTTCGCAGCGGCATGTAACGACAGGTCGTAGGCAGTGAGCAAGGATCTGCTATGCTGCAGGGATCTGCCCTTGCCAATTGCGCCCTCGCGCATCCGGTCTACCGCCCATCAAATGTGTACATGTATGTACGGATCGCTGATACACAGGTGACTGCAACGAGCAACAGGACGTCAGGATGTGAAAAAGGGTCGCCTCTTCAGGGCGTAACCCTGCAAGCACAGCCACATGAGAAGGGTGGAGTTTTTGGTGCCTTCATTTTTGGGGCTTGGACTTTGTAGGAGCAGCTGTAATTTATCTATTGTGTAATAATAACTCTAACTTTTGTATATGTTAAGGGGAAAACCTGTCGATTCCCTTGGATTTCAAAAGTAGCCTTCTAGTTTCTGCTTATTTGAGAAGAGTGCCTTGCAAGGGGATTAGCTGAACTTGCGTGTTTGGTACGACCACCCCGCACCCCAAGCCCTGTCTCCCAGCCCTCCCAGCTTAGTACCTTTGTGAAGGATCACACAGGGAATCAGGGAAGAGTTTCTGTTCCCGTGAAGTGGGCTGTCTTGTCTAAGTGCCCAAATCCAACCCAAGCCGCCCGGCTTGGGGGGGCGGGCCCATGGAGATTCGGGTGGCGTTTTTCCCGGCTCGGCGTGGGGGGCTCGGAGCGTCGAACTCTTGCCGGATCTCCCGATTGACGCAAGCGGAGGGGGGAAGAGATGCCGGGAGGGAACGTTTCCGTTGGCCGGAGTGCGCAGTCCGTCCACTCACTCACTCATTGTCACTCATTCATTCACTCAGTCACTCGCTTATTTGAGAAGAGAAGCTGTAGTTTCTCAACATTTGGAACCTTGATAAGATTTGTTAGGAAAACGTCGATCCTCCATGTCCACTATGTGTCAGCAGGACAACCTCTGTTGATTTGTGAATTTTTCATAGAAAACAGAATCTAGGGCCATCATTTCACCCTCCATTTACAATACAAGACGAAAGAACAATCCTTGGCTTCCAGCGACAGAAACAAGGAGGCGGGGGGGCTCCCCCTCCACATTTACGAACAGAGTGATCCGAGGACAGCTCTTTTCGATTCCGCATCTTGGGTTGCAGCCCTGTCCACGTGCACGCAGAAGAATCCAGGCATGCCCACTCCATTTGCAAAACAAAAAGAATAAATTGGTTTTTATCACCAAAAAAGCGGTTGGATGGGGGCTGGGAACCCCCCCACCCCCCCGCCACGAGCGAACAAAATTCAACTACGGCAGTTTCACAAGCTTGAATTCCTTCCTTGGTACCTTCCGCCTCTTCCTTCCGCCCCTTCCTTCTAATACGATGTCGACTTGTATTGATCCTTATGGATCTCTCCTACCGCATTCTTTGGCGTATCCTCGCATCGTGGAAGCGAGAATGAAGCTCAAAGCAGGTCGACCAAACCTTCGGAGTGCCATCGAACTAGCTGACCAGTTCTTGGCAGAAGCTGAGGGCACAGGGCCCGACACTGTCCGCGCGCCCCATTGCTTGGGGCACTTCGCATTCTCTCTCGAGCTCTTTCCTTTCATTCCTTTCATTCCTTTCATTCCTTTCTTTCCTTTCTTTCCTTTCTTTCCTTCCCTTCCTTCTTTTCCTTCCTTTCCTTTCTTTCCTTTCCTTTCCTTCCTTTCCTTTCCTTTCCTTCCTTTCCTTCCTTTCCTTCCTTTCCTTCCTTTCCTTCCTTTCCTTCCTTTCCTTCCTTTCCTTCCTTTCCTTCCTTTCCTTCCTTTCCTTCCTTTCCTTCCTTTCCTTCCTTTCCTTCCTTCCCTTCTCTCCTTTCTTTCCTTTCCTTTCCTTTCTTTCCTTTCTTTCCTTTCTTTCCTTCCTTTCCTTTCTTTCCTTTCTTTCCTTTCTTTCCTTTCTATCCTTCCTTTCCTTCCTTTCCTTTCTTTCCTTTGCCACGGGTGTCTCCCTAACTTATTTCGTTGGACTCTTGCCCTGACTGGATGTGGGGGCAAGGCAATGGTCCGAATCTTCGATGTCGAAACTCTTGTGCAGCCCTTTCAAACGAAGCGCGCCTGCTTTAGGTGGCGGCGCCTGGGTAGTCGATGTGTGCTGGTAGCGACGATGAACGTTTGAATGCCAAGTCGTTGACAAGATGGCTTTCATTGGCTTTCGCTGCCTGAAAATCAATTCTTGGAAGGTGGAGCAAGTGAAGCGCCTGATGCTTAGTCGACGATCGTTCTCCAAGACCCTCAAAAACCCCAAAAAGCCCGATTTGCTGAGGGGACAACCAGTACTACAAGGCCGTGAATCGTGAGCTGAAGAAGCGGCTGCGGTCGCTGCTCGAACAGCTCTGGGAGGTGCCTGAAGCAGTCTTAGGGTTTGGCCGTTTGGCCAAGGGTTTTTCGTTTCAGCTTCTCGGAGCAGACAGGGATTCCCGGTTAAGGGCATAGGGATCACTCTGTTGGGCCTTATTGATTTGCAACCCCTGTCTTGGATGCCTGAAGTGTACTCCCGTCCTCTCAGGGAAATGGGGGGGCTCCGACTGGAACGCCGCGCTTCATGCCCACCATGCCGGCCAGCAAGGTCTGCGTGCTGCTCTTTCCTCAAGCCAGCCCAGAAGCCTTCCCTTGCATGTGTAGCCGACTGGACTGCCCTGGTTAGGACCGTGCACAGTCCAAATGAGCTGGACTGGGTCGATTTTCCTGTAGCATACGGCTCTAAGGTTGACTTGTGCGTAGTGGATGACCATCTCACACGTGACAGGTCGGCCAAGCAAACGAGGGGCCCTGCCCTGCAGGATCGTTCCAGATAAAATAGAAAGTCTCTGGTCTCTGGAGTGTTCTGAAGTTGCCTGGCCTCAAGGGGAGCCCGACAAAGCCGGGAGCCACTTCCACCAGCTTCCAAGCGTGAAGCGTGTAGCTTGGCCAAGCAGCTCCGTGCCTCTGTGCCCCGAGAAATCCTTCGGCCCACTTCGGCCCACGGCTTTTCCCAGAAGCTGAGTTGCTACTGGAGCGAAGTGTGATGAGGTTCTCTTACTCTTTGACTTGAGATAGACAGGGCATTCTGCCGGAATACTCTCGAAGCTCTGTCTGTCCACATCCCAGACTGCTGCCTCTATGACTTCGCATGTGCGGTGCCGGGCTCAAGACTCTAGGAAAGCCTTGGGCATCGAATCAGGCACGAGACAGCAATAGGCAGAGCCACTTTGTCGAACTAGCGCTCGCCAAGCTGATAAAGCAGTGGCACCTCCAGTGAATAGTCACTCAGCCTACACTTGTTCCATGTACACGTCTTTGCGTTTGCTGCCTTCATGCAATCACTTGTGTGGCTCTGCCTTTGCCGCTTGCTTGCTGTCAGGATTTTCGTGCCCTCTGAACGCTTCAAAGCTTTTATAGTTTCGGTTTGGGTCGGTTCGGGTGGCAGCAACCCCAGACTGAACGTTCTGGGCCGTTTTGATGCTTTCAGGTTGGGGATGGTGTGCGCGATGCCCAGGCTTTGCAAGCTCCAATGGCTCACCAGAGCCCAGTGAGCTCCCCGATGGCTTGGTGGTACAGACACCGGAGCTCACGGACCTTGCACGGCGCAGGGCCAAGCCAGGATCTGAGATGCCTCCTGAGAGAGGCGCTTCGGCGGTGTCTTGTTAGTGTGGGCAAATAGTATGTTTCGAGCCATTCGCTTCTGCTCTGCTCTAGGGCGTTCGTTGGCCAAACAGAAAACTTCAAGATTTAGGATCTTCTTGGCATGCGCTTGGGGGCGGAGTCGCGTGAGTGGTGGTGCTTTTATGAGGAGGGAGGGAGAGCGAGAGCGAGAGAGAGAGAGAGAGAGAACGGGCGGCTCCGAAGTGCACAGAAGAAGAGGGAGAGAGAGACTGGGGAGCGGGAGACAGAGGGGGAGAATTTCACTCCTTCAGTATAAAGCCTGCAACCAAGTGTCACCCACCATGTCTCCAACACCTAAAAATCCTTACGGAGCAGGAGCACAGAGGAGGGGCAAAGCCAATTCTTCTTATGGATGGATGGCGGAAGTTGTAATCAGCCCTGCCGTACAGTGAGTCCCCACAAAGCACTTGTCCTAGTGGCAGATCTTTTCGCGTCTGCGAAGGGGGAGGTACTTACATGGCCAACGCCTGCCCATGAAGTTGTGGGCATAGCAGCCGGCGGACTCTTGGAAATTGAGCCCCCCTTGGTGCGACCCCTTCGAGGGTTTTGCTCGCAGAGAGACGGGGAGGGAGAGAGTGGTGTTGTTTCGTTCTTTCCGGGAAAGTCGAACCACTCTGGGTACGCAGCTTTCCTGTTGTTTCGCAGAGACTCTGAGACCATCCGGGCGCACCTAGTGCGCGGGGGGGGGGGGGTGGGGGGTGGGTGCGCCTCTCAAGCCCCGAAGAAGCAGCAGCAGCAGCAGCAGCAGCAGCAGAAGAAGAAGAAGAAGAAGAAGAAGAAGAAGAAGAAGAAGAAGAAGAAGGAGAAGAAGAAGAAGAATCAGAGGAAGAATCAGAAACATAATAAGACGAATAATAAAAGGAGAAGAATAAGAATAAGCAGAAAACAAGAATAATAATAATAAGAACAAGAACAAGAAGACGAAGACTAATAATAAGAATAGTAGTACGGAGAAGAAGAATAATAAGAATAATCATTACAAGAAGCAGCAGATCAACAAGAACAATAACAAGAATAACCTCAACAACGGCACGAACAAGAACAAGAAAACGAAAAATAATTATACTATTGCGAAGAAGAATAATACTAGTACATTTACGAAGAAATAGAATACGAAGGAGAAAAAGAATAATCACACGCCTAGCAAGGTTCACTCCGAGACCCTGTAGCTCACGCCCATCTGGACAGCACCCGTCGGTGGCCACGCAAACTAGAAGGAAGGGAGGGAGGAAGAGAGCGGGAGAGAGCGGTCTAGCTCACAACGGACCCTCGTGCGAGGGGTTCCTTTCGATTTAAGCCCGGCCAAAGGATGCTTCTAATGCGCAGCTGTAGCCGAGCCTGCATGTCTCATGGCGAGGAGGTGATGCTGATGCTTGCTGAGCGTGCAAGAAGTAAAGAGGGCTGTGCAAGATCTTGTCGTGGTTGAAGATGTTCTGAGGTTCATGCCTTGCCGCATATGTGAAGAGAGAGTTGCTTGCTTAGCATGTCTTGCACGCTAGCCTTGTAACTTGCAAATCGTGGCTTCATGTTAAGCTTGCAGGTTGGGGTCTGTTGAGGTAACTTCACTGCTGGCATCCTTTCGGCAAGAGATCGAGCACCTTGCTGTTACAAGCTCCTGCCGCTCTCTCCAGGTTTGTTTGCTGGCATGCGACATGCGATGCGGTCGGCAAGCTGACGTGAACGTCTCATCGGCGCATATAAGGAAACTTTATTCAGTGGATCCAGACTGGGCAGAAAAACTGCCCGAGGGAATTGGGAGCTCCAGGCGTCTTTGCCACCTGGCTGAATAGGAGTGCCGGAAGCGCATCTGGGAGCGGTTTTCTCCAATTCGTGCCAGTCAGGTGACATGCAAGACTTATCGATTCTTGGGATGCGCTAGTTGAGGACTTCTGATGTAAAGGTCGGCAGCAAGCACTGTTTCTGGGCACACGGGGGATACCTATGCTGCTCTCAACAGACCAAGGGCACTTCTGCATGCGCAGCGGCTCGACGTCGACCTCCACAAGGATGGGTCGGCATCTCTCAACAAGGCGGGGCAGACATAGAAGGAGACCTCGGCAGAGACCTCGGTAGCTCCTCTTGTTTTGAAGCTGCTCCGCATCAAGGCCGTGGTGGGCCAAACGGTGTTTTTCACAGATCCTCGGTGATGAACTTGGACTTGGGATTGCTCTGTCTAAGGCCCCCGGGTTACAACCCGTTGCAGCAACACAGAAAGCAACATCAGCAGTGTCTGCAAGCCACAAGACGACAAAGCGCTTATCCAAGGAGGTGCTGCGAAGGGAGCACTTCCACTACAAGTCCTACATTGTGCAGCAGGCTTGCCAAGAAGCCTTCGACGATATTGAAGTTGTTACAGATGCAGTGGCGCGAGCCTACGAAGGACTGCGTAGTGAAACTCATGTTGGCCGGCAACTTCTGCTCATTTCTGCTTGCCGATGGTTTGAGGAGCAAAACGCAGCCATGCTCCGGACTCGTCGCTTGGCTTCTGCTGCCAGTGAGGTTTGTGTCCGGAGTGTAGGACAGGGCAAAACCAAAGGCGGAGGTGGCATCTGCACGCCGCAGGCATCTGCTCATGATGATGAACAGAGCTGGTAGAGCAGCATGTTCCCAGACGCGAGTGCTCTGGCGGCAAAGAAGCTTCACCGAGCCTTTTAGGCTTCCTAGCGACTTGGGACTTCGGAGAGGTGTGCATTTTGGAATGTGCCGCACGTACCCACACAAGCCCGCTCAACACACACGTGTTGTGAGGCGTGCGTGGAAGAGAAGAAGTTGCGGCTGAAGCTGGCTAATGCGGGAAAGCCTGCCAAGCCAGTAAGTCGCACTGACGAGCTTTGAAGCTTAAAACGCAAGCGCGTGAGGTATGAGCTGGTCAAGTATCGCAAAGCAGCGCGCGCGATGAGCATGTAACGACCGTGCCCCGCGGTCAGTGTGATGCTTGGGCCAGGAAAGACTACCCAGCCGGACTGGATGTAAAATCTACTAAATCACATGAAAAGCTTGAAGTCATATCGCCAGATCCGCAGCAGTTAGCTCATATGCACCCGGGCTTTCAATTTCCCTTGAGTCCCAGCGTCATCCTTCATCGCTTTCGGTTTGTATCGGTGCGGTACAGTGACGCAGCTTGCGCGAGCGAATGTGATGTCCTCTGCTTGGGAGATGCGGAGATTGCTTTGATAGATGAAGTCAGGAACCGCTGTGGAGCTTACCTGAACGGGCAGAGGAGCAAGAGAAGCTGTTAGCAGATGGGAGGTACAAGGTTGCCTTGCCAAAGGGTGGAGGAACGATCTCAGTCAAAGCAGGGGCCTTCATAAACCCTGGTGGGAATCAGCATCCACATCTACACCGCAACCTGCGCCTGCCTGAGTGCATGTTGGACCAAGCTGTGCCCTTCGCCCATTGGTTCTCTTCTCAACGAGATCAAGGGTCTCATGAAGCAATGCGAGATGGGCCTGAAGATGCCCCGAAGTGGGGCTGCAGCTTCGACGATTCTGGGAGGTGGTCCCAGGTTATGGAGGTGCGGCCGAATGGGTAGTGACGGTCACGCCAAGGAAACGAAAGAGGCTGGCGGCAAGGTGCCTGCGTTGCCCAGCCACGCGCATGTGCTACAAATGGGCCGCAGCACGCGTTGGCACTTCGGGACTTGTGAGCGGGCACCTGCTTACGTGGGACCTGCCGCTCTACCAAAAGTCCTAGTCTCGGAACGCAGAAGTTTAGGAGCATCAGGGAACTTCAATGTTGCCACGGTTCCCTACAACAGGTTGAGTCCGAGGTTGTTCCACGCACTATTTGCATCATGGCACGAATACGTACGACGTTATCCCTCTCATGCTGCCGGCTTCTGCTCAGTCTCTGCTTTCCGAGTTCTGCGGATGTGCTTCAGCGCGCTTCAGCTCTTCAATTGCACAACCATCACGTGATGTCACGTGAGATGGACTGTCTGGACAGCAGACTGTCGCCACTTCGCTGTTGCCACCGAGCGGTTTTTCGATGTGGCGGCTTCCTCGAATCTGGCTGACCACATGGGCATTGTGGGAGGGGTAAACTTCCCTCTTCGCCTTCTCACTTAGGGCGACCCCAGGCGTTCGGTTCGCTTGTGCTGGCCACCCGGGCTCCGTACTCATTGATTATTTGGCGAGCACTCTCTCTTCAGAGGAGATTATGATGATTATTGCGATTGGTGAAGGCCACGCGTGGAATGTTTTGTGTGGCCTTCTGCTGTGCCGACAGAGACAAAGGCTGAACAGTGTCCAGGAGTCCAGGGTCAAGGTGGCATACCTGGCCCTCAATGCCTCTTAATGCCTCTTGGGAGCAGCAACCCCTTGTTCGTGCCCAATCGTACTATGGGTCCCGGAACACCTTCGATGATCAGACAGATGGCCACTTTCTACTTCTTCAGTTTGGAGCCTATAGCTCAAGTGCGGGCTTCAAAAGACCTGGAGCAGAAAAGCAGAGGGGCACACAAGTTTGGGGCAAGCGGTCGAAGGCGATGCAGCTGAACCGCGAATGCGTCGCCGTATGTCTTGTGTGAGTGCCTTTGACTCCTGCTTTGCGGGCGTTGCTTCCCACAGTCCTTTCTTGATTGTCCAGCAGGTCAAACACACCCGCAGGATTGTTTCTGGGATCCCTGTAGTTAGTGAAAAGTGGGCAGGAAAGAGGGTGGGTATGCTGCTTCGGTCATCAGCATTGCAGGAAGTCACAGCACGTGCCAACACGGCCTTTTGCGACTCTGGCAGGCTAAATTTGCAGCCTTGTGCTTTTCACTAGAACATATCTGCAGCTCCTGGCGGTCCGAAATCGTGCAAACAATCTTTGACAAAGCTAGCCGGCAGCATTTGGGGGGTGTGCAACAACCTGGGGCAAGGAACCACCTAGACTGGGATCGAGAGCTTGTGCTACCAACCACCTAAGCACAAACCAACCAACCCGCGACAAACTGATCTTCCCGTTGGCAACCGCCGGTCCTTTCGCCAGTTCTCGAAACAGCAGAAACCCAAGCAACTCACGCATCAGGCCCCCGTGTCTTGCGGGCGCGGTGGCCGAATCAAGGATCTTGTGTTTGGTAATCAAAGTGGCAAACGGAGACGTATTAAGGTAAGCAGCGGGTACAACGAACCTCCAATGGCAGGCAGCCGTAAACAAGCTCGGAGTTCATCTGAAACGTGTCCTCAAATGGAGCGGCGTGTGGACCCAGCGGATGGTGTCGCGTACACGTTCCAAGCGCCTCGGCTACCTTGGGTTTCGCACAGGGTCCACGGCCCCTCGATGCACAGAGTTCTTAACCCCTGTAAAAATCTACCGGGTCCAAGAGGGTTTTAGGCTGTGAGGTTTTAGGGTTGTAGGGCAGTGGGCTTGAGATTCTGGAGTTAGGCCTGATTATCATGAGCAGCACTACGCAGTTAAGGACCTCAGCAATTACTATGCCAAGCAGTACAGCAAGCAGGTCCTGGAGGGTCACGGGTACAGCATGCTTGTCTTGTCAGATTGTCATGTAGATGTCCCCAGCCAGCTGGTGTCCAGAGACGTGCGTGGCAGCCGTGGGCAGGACATCCAACACTATTGGAACAAGCAGTGCAAGCGGGAACCTAAGTTCGCTTCCATCCTCCGAGTCACAAAACGACTTTGTCGTTCCAGCTGCCGAAGAAGTGACCAAGGCCCTTGGGAAGCTCAAAGGCTTCGGCTGTGCCTCGCCCAGAAGACATCAGCATGAGTACAAAGAAAGAAGATAAACAAGGTGACGGCGCCTGTAAGAGGCCGTGTGACTGAACACATTCTATGTTTACATTTTTCGCGTCGAGGGCTGAAAACCCAAGTAAGGCACACATTTTCGTGATCACCGCAGCATTTGCAGGGCTCGAAAACACTGAAGGGTTAAGTCCTTTTTTTCTCAAAAATGCATTTTCGCTCGAAGCCTGATCGTTTTTTTTGTTGTTTTTTTCCAGGGGGTCCTTTTTTTGAAGTTTTGGACGCGTTTTTTGCTCGAATTTGCGCTCTCGCCTAGGCGCGGGCACGTTTTGCTCATTCCCCATGTTGAACTTTCAAATGGCGATTTTCGGTTCGGGAAGTTTTTTCTGCGTTATGGCTCCGGCAGTTCAGGTTCGAAATAGTGCTCTCGCCACAGCGCAGGCATGATTTTCTGGAATTGTGCTTTGGTTGTAACCCAACAGACTTGTGCACTGGATCCTGAAAGTGGCCTCAAGTTGATTCTTCTTCAGGGTTCAAGGTTCAAAGTTTAGGGTTCAGGTTTCAGGATTTGGGTTTGCACTGCTTGGACTATTCTTTTGGGTTTAAGGATCGTTTGTTTGTTGTGTTTTTTTTCTAGGGGGTGTCGTTTTGAAGTTTCGGACACATTTTTTGCTTGAAATTGCGCTCTCGCCTAGGCGCGGGCGCGTTTTGCTTATAAACCCCGAATTAAACAGCAAGGGTTTAGGCCTTTGGGGATTAGGGGTTCAGGCTTTGGAGTTGCAGGTGTGAAGTCCCAAGTCACGTGATTACCCCCCCCCCCCCCCCCCCCCCCCACCCCCCCCCCCCCCCCCCCCCCCCCCCCCCCCCCACACCCCCCCCCCAAGCCCCAGAAATTGTGGTTACTCGCAGCGCCTCTTAGAGGCGCCGTCTCCATAAACAAGTGTCAGTCTAATAAAGGACTTACAGCAAATCAGTTCGCCACCTTCTGGTTTGCCACATTTGTTATATTTATATTTAACGCCGGATGCCGTGGACACCCCTGAAGTCAGTCCGGGCCGAAATCCATTCCGAGACATTGGTTCTTCGGGTCCTGGCGTTACGAGAAGTGTGTCAGGGCATGGTAAGGTTAGCAACACCAGGCTGCTGATGCCAGCTTGCTGGACCCTTTACCCGATCTGGAGCGTCTCAGTCAAGCCAAAGCCCCTTGGCCCTTGGTGCTTTGGGTGCGATTCAAGGGTGTGCTGGGACGTGGGTTTCGAGTGTGGTTTCAGGATGTGGGAGGTTTCCTCTCGAACTTGGTTTTGTTCTTTGCGTGCACAGGTCGCAAATCACCTGCAGCAACGCACCGGAACTTCAAACCACAGCCGACCCCGAAAAATATACCGGACCCGGATCAAGTTACAAAGCTTGGGGCTGCGCGGGCTTCTGTTGGGTTCGCGATGGTTTACGTTCATAGCATGCGTCGGCCGTCTCACGCCGTGTGTCGCATCGACAACAGCTAGACGGAGTGTTGGGCAGTAGAGTTCAGGTTTTAGGTCCACATGACGCCTGTCTGGGATACCCCAAATTCTTCTGGCCAGAGGCCTGAACATGCTACCACCCCCTCCCCCCCCGCCCCCGGGCGGAGAGGCCCGGCAATTGGGGCAAACCTCCCAAGCTAAACAGGGTGCAACATGAATGGAGGCTTGCAGATTCCGCTGACATTTTCGCAGCGACAGAGTAGAGCTCCTTTGGTTCCAAATGTCGAGCCCCTTGCCGGAAGATGCGAAAGAGGATGTGACAGACGCGGACGCGGAAGCGGAAGCGGAAGAGGCTGTGGATGTGCATCTTCAGTGGCAGGATGCAGCTGGCAGCCAGACTGGCCAAGTATGTATCGCGATAGCAGCAACGCTGTCAGAGTTCAAGGCGCAATGTGCGCAAATGCTGAAAGTTCGGCTGGTCCATTGTCCAGACTTTAATGACGACATGGATAGCCAGCAGCTTCGCGAGCTTGGCATAGGCGCTGCTGTGTGGACGCCGTGTCTTCAAGTGTCTTCTATTCTTGCTGCACTTTGCGCCAGCAGTATACAAAGCATGCGGAGCTTCGCTGACCTTGTCTGAGCTTCCAGAGTGGAAACAAAGCTGCTTGACAGGCCTCTCGGACGTGCCTGTTCTTCTGGAACTTGGCCCGCCCGTCGACCCCTCGGAAGCTTGTGAACCGGCTGCCTCTGCGAAGGCCGTGGGCATGTCCACCAGGTGGGAGGATGACGCTTTTGGCTTTTGGCATGGGATGTAGCTGTGCAGAGCCGGGCTAGACCGGGCTGGAGTCGGGTAGCTTAAAGACTTGACCGCCGCCATTGTTGTCAGCAGCAGCTTGTGGAAGGAAGGTTCGCGCCCCGCTGGCGGTGCGTCAGGCAGTGGCCGATGCATCGGACATCCGTGAGGGCTGGCTTTTCCTTGGGGGGCAGCTGGCTGCGAGTAGCCTGGAAGGCTTACAACAGCTAGGCATCACGCACATTATGAATTGCTGTGAGCGCGTCCCGTGCAAGTTTCGAGACTTGCTCAGAATCTAAAGTTGCAACCTCAGCCTCTTCTTGTACATCACAAGTAGCCCGCTCTGCAGCAGAGCAGATTTCTCCAAGCTTGTGTAGGCATGCAGATTCTCATCAGTCACTGTCACGTGCTGGCAGCCTCTCCACACTGCATGATAAGTCTCACCTTTGTCGTGATTTGAGGATCGAGGATTACCTACAAGGTAGTTGCCGTGATGGACACGAAAAGCTCTGTGGCTTCAACCAGCGCCGCAAGCTAGCGTGACTGCACATTCAGTTGTGTGGAACTCCGACAGACGATGTGCCAAGGCTCTGATATCCGGGAGTTCATTCCTGAAGCTTTAGCCTTCATTGACGAGGTGGTGGCAAATGGTGGCAAGATCTTGGTCCACTGCATGGTCGGAGCTTCGCGAAGCGTGGCTTTGGTTCTTGCCTGGCTTGTGGCACGATGCCGGATGCCATTGAAGCAGGTCTTGCAAACAGTGCTTATCCCATGGCTAGTTTGCAGACAAGGGGTGGGCCATGTCTTGCATGCTCTCCTGGTGAGTACCGAGAGTGTCAGGCAACACCGCTCCAAATCAAGAAAGGACCCTCGGAAAACAGGGGAAACGCATGCAGAAAACCAAACAAGAACAGGTTCAGAGAAAACAGATAACCGAAGCCGGAAAACCAGCCGAAACCAAATCAAACAGACCCTTCCATCGTGCCACTGCTACTGGAAGAACGCTTCTTTGGGTTTCTCAAGGGAGGGCCAATCTTTTCGCATTTTTGTGTTTGTTCTTTTTGGGTGGGGGGGGGGGGGGGGGGGGGGGGGGGGGTGGAGGGGAAGGGGGAGGGGGAGTGGGAGGAAAGCCTCTAGTTTCTCTATTTTGGGGGGGAGACCTTTATTTTCTCTGGAAGAAGAGGCCGGAAGGAAAGAAAGACAAGAAACTAAAAGAGAAAAAGAAGATACCAGAACAGAAAATAACATTCAGAAAGAAAAAGAAACAACAGAAGAAAGAGAGAAACAAGCAAGCAAGGCAACAAAGAAAGAAAAAAACGAAAACAAGAAATACAGAAAGACAGAAAGAAAGAATAACGAAAGAAAGAAAGACAGAAAGAAAGACAGAAACACAGAAAGAAAAGGAGAGAAATAAAGAAAGGACAAACAAGAAAGAACAAAAGAACGAGAGAAGGAAGGAAGGAAGGAAGGAAGGAAGGAAGGAAGGAAGGAAGGAAAGAAGGAAGGAAGGAAGGAAGAATGAACGACCGAAAGAAAGAAATTAAGCAAGGCATAAAGAAAGAACGCAAGAACGAAGTAAAGATACATGCAAGAAAGAAATAAACAAGAAAAAGAAAGAAAGAAAAGAAAGAAATACATACATACAGAAAGAAAGAGCGAAAGACATAGATAAATAAAGAATTAAGAAAAAGAAAGAGAAATATACAGAAACAAAGACAGAAATACAGAAGACAGAAAGAAAAAAAACTACAGAAATAAAGAACGAACGAAAGAAAGAACTACATAGATAAACAAACTACAGAAAGACAGAAAGAAAGCCAGACAGACATAAGCAAAGAAAGACGGAAAGAAAGAAAGAAAGAACGCAATGAGCCAAAGAAAGGAACACAAGAAAGAAACGCGGCAAATAAATAGACGTGAAACAAAACACAAGGTCGAAGTAAAAGAACACATGATGAAAAAAACATGACAACAAATAAATAATAAGAATTCGAGTAGAAATACGCAGGGCCTTCGTAAAATGAATAGAAGAACACCTATGAACACAATCATAGGACTACTGTTGAAATATGGAGGGAATCGAGGTCTTGCTAGGGGAAGCCAAGGAAACCGACCCAAAATTAGTACGAGCTTCGACCGAAGCAGTGGGAGTCGTATTAAGATCACCATGAATCCCATGAAAGCTAGTTGGACGTCGGGAAAGCCAAGGACATGGACCAACAAAAACAACAATCGTGACAAACAAGGTTCGCAAGACAAGAGCTCTACCCTTCTCAGGTTTGGGCCTGGATTTCCTTCACCACCCTCTGTGCCACCCTCTGTGTGGGAGATCTTAAGTAAGCCTTTCTCCTCGCCTTGTCTCCCGGCCAGGGTCTCCCATCCCGCCGAGTACCCCCGGAGCCCCAGAGAATCCCGCAGTCCCGCCGCGTGCAGAGCACAGAGGTCGCCCCAAAATAGTCCCGCAGAGTCCCTTGCAGCGCCCAGAATGAAGGAAACCTAACCGCAGGATCCTGTCGCGGTTGCTTTCCCAAGAGATGGCACTTCGAAGGCCTCCGGGGACCTGTGGGATTGGATGCAGGGATTCTCTGGAGGGCGTGCCAGGGATACTGAGGCAGAGACTCGCGGGATTCTCTGCATTATTTGGGGACTCTCTGTTTCTCTGGGGGTAGGTGCAGGGATACTTGGGATACTCCGCAGAGCTCCAAGAGCTCCAGAGGCCGGAACTCAACGCTTTGGGCGTGCAGCAAGTTCTCGCTGAGACTCTCAGCAGGAAATGACAGGATGGCTTCCAGATGTAGGATGAAGACAAAGTTGGAGCTTTGAGGGCTTGCAGGGTTAGTTTTTGTCCGCCGCCGTGGGGTTAGATTTTAGTTCAGCTCTCCCCACCCTGGCATCCTGTACTCCTCGGGTCGCCTGGCCCGGGACTCCTCGGCATCCGCAGGAATCCTGCAAGGTATCCCGGGAGTGCCCAGAAAGTCCCACCAAAAACCCCGCATAGTATCCCTGCCCACACCTAGAGAATCAAGAGAGATCGGGAGAGAACGATGGTGTAGCATAAGTTTGGGTTGGGTTCAAAGACATGGCATGGACTAGGTGAAAGTCGGGTTTCAAGGGAAGCGAATGAACCTTACGAGCTACACTTACCCCGGTTGGACCATGTTGGAGCGTCTTCCCTTGTTGGGACCCTTGTCCTGTAAGACGAGGCGTAGGACAAAAGAGATCGTATTCATCCTTCAAAGCTGCGTGCCAGGCCTTCCAAGAGGTGAGGGCCAAGAGACACCAAGCGAGACCGAACCGCAGCTTCTGTGAGCAGCTTATGCAGTTCGAGAAGGAGACTTTGGGGAGTTGCAGCGCCACCTTGGCAGACTTTCACCACAAATAGCTCCTACAAGGTGATCGCGACGTGGGTGTGCTGCAGTGCTGCCGTCCTTCGATTCGCCCGAATGTTGCGCGGGCCAATTGCGCGGCATCGGGAAAAAGCTTGGAGCAGTGTGGGCCGCGTTCAGGCAGAGATAGGCAGAGGCACCGAAGTTCGGATTTCCTGATCTCTTTCAGCCCTGAGTTCAAGTTGAGCCACGGATGACATACTGTACGTCGAAACTCTTTCGGCAACAACTGGTCCTTTCGGGCTAAGAAGGCCTTCAGATCACAACCAACGTGTAGAACCTGACCTAGCCATATTCTTTGGCACGCTGATGCTTAGGTTAGCTTTTGCCCCGATCCAAAGCCTCTTGCCTGCAGCTACGGGTATGGGGCATTTAGAACATGGCATGGCATGCAGCCAAGGAAGTCAGGCGGATCCTTCACTCCGATCTACGAGTCTTCCAGTAGTGGCAAGAACTTCGCCTCTGTCAACGCCGGAAATCCCAAGAAGTTGAAGGCCCCGAAGCTTTGCAACACCCTTCTCGGTGTGGTTCAGAAGCCAAACAACCGTGCCGGGCGAGGTAGGGGGTGGAACGATCAACGGGCAGTTTGCGCAGGACTGCCTGGGCTTTGCATGGGCCGAGCTTCCTCCATTCAGCTGCAGGGTCCTCTTGGCCGCGAGGAGCTGCAGAGAGTGGCTGGACATGACCCTGACAGTTACAGTCCAGCACACGAGGCCCGAGTCTTCCAGCCAGGGGAGAAAACAAGTGTGTGTGTGTGTGTGTGCCGTGGGAGATGCAAGAATGAACTGCAGTTGCCTGGGTGCCATTTCCTGCTGCAGGCGCTGCTTCGAACAGCTACGCAGACAGGCACTGCAAGGCAGGGACACATAAGGATGCAGCAGAACATGGTATTCTGTAACACGGGATGCAACAGGCATGGCCTTTTTCCAGCGCCCGCCACGCTGCGGTTGCCGCAGTGTAGCGCTCCAATCTGTCGAAATACACCGGTACTCTGCCGAACATGCTCACAGAAAAGCTGGAGCAGCACGGGCCAGTTGAGGCTTGGAGGCTTCCTTCATCTACCTCGGCCGGACGCCTGTGGAGGTGCGTCCGAGCAAATCCCAGATGCTGCGCTGTTTGACAGACGGGTTCTGCCAGAGGCCGAGCAGATTGCTGGGGACTCCGGGCGAGGCGGCCTGGTGATCCTGGAGCGCTCGTGGCACAGATTTTTGCTCTTCACTCCAAAACCTATCCAACTCACCCGAAGACTGTCGCTGGTAAAGCCCCCTGGCCACCAAAGCTTGGAGGAGCAACATCAGTTTTCGCACACATTGCCGTGTGAGGACATATTCGAGACGAAGTCACGACCCTACCATGTCCAGAATGTGGCCATGGTGTGTCTCAATGGCAATTGGAGTAAACGTGCTGTTCTGCAGCTGTGCAAAGCTGTGCGCTGATCTGGTTGGCACATGGCAAGAAGGTACACGGTAGGACCTCAACGAGGCTACGAGCCTGATGATGCGACATTTCTATCGATGCTTGGAAGAAGCTGCCTCGAGATTCCTCGAGGGTCGAGTGGAGTTTTGTGGGACTCTGGGGAATTCAAGGCCTCCGGCTGGCTGAGTCAACCAAAGATCAGCGAAAGGGCACTTTGTGTAGGTTATACTCGCGGGTGCGGAGGAAAGTGCGCCTGGTCGGCCGCAATGTTGTGGCTGCTTGCCACGACTACAATCTGCAGCGGCCGAGCTTGCCTCAGCCTTTTGGAGCTGTTTTTACTCGAGGTCGTCGTATGGCGCTTACATGCGTTTCGCGTTTCTGCGAATCTTGCGGACAAGGTCGCAGGTCCCACCCATTGACCAGGTTCGCCTCTGCCTGGTTAGTGGTGGCAAGTTTGCGGAGCGAGTCCCCAAGGAGTTGCGTCAAAACGTGCAAAACTCGGCGAGCACTTGTCAAGGCGCCTTGGGATTCTTGGGATTCATGAACACTTGCCTTCAGCAGGAGCTGGTGGCTCGACAGCTCGTGCTCGGCGTGCTGGACGTGCAGCTGGCAGAAGGGATCAACCCTGATGCCATGCCTGAGATCGAGTTTGCCTATGATGGTGATGTGTTCCGCTTCTTATCTCAACCGAGTGATCCGAGTGCAGATCTTGAAGAGCCACTGTGACTAAACTATGTGGTCAATGTGGTCCATTTGTTCAAACAGCCACCTCGACTCAGTTTGCAAGTGTGTGCAGGTAAAGAATGGGATGCTTTGGCCGAGAGAACCTGATTCGAGCCAGGTTGTACATGCCACAACAATTGAAGGAAAAAGGCTTCGCTGATTCAGGACGATGGAGGCCTGGAGGCTCGTAGAATCTTGTGGATAACACTGAGCCAGAAGGTGCATGAGTTTGCAGCCTGTCGCACGCTGCGCCGGCCCTCAAAACTGGTAGCTGCAAAAACCGAAGCTCTGACTCACACTTGATGCCTGTGTTGCATCTTGCGCGATGGGCTGCGCGGCCTCATCCGGGGCAACGCTCGATGGTTGCTTGGATGCATGAGATTGCACACCTGCGACGCTCTGCACGGTCCGATCGCTGCAGCTCGAAAAGACAGCCTGCCTCGAGGTCGAATGGTCGCAAGCAGCACAAGGCGCTCTTCTAGGCCTCTTCTGGGGTTTCAGGCTCTAGACGACCCATCATCATTCCAATAGTTGATGATCCCAGCCGAGAAAGTGCTTGGTAAGCATGTCTACGTGCGGCAAGACCTCAGTTTGCCAATGTGCCTCCTGCTCGGAGTCACAGCGGATGTCGAAATGTGAAAGCTGTGTCTGCGATTTGGCCTCTGGTTCGCGCCGGTTTTTTAGCCACTTTAGCCAAGTTTAGCCCCGTGTGTTTGTGTGCCCCACCTGACGAGGAGGATGAGAGCAGCGCTTTTTGCCAATGGCACCAGTGCCAATCAATCCTGGGCTGCAATGCGGTAGTGGTCTCACAGTTTCACTTAGGAATTTAGTGCAAAGGGCCGGAGCCACAAACAGGACTGTGGAGTCCAGGGCACGGACTAAAATCGGGCGGCCAAGAGAAATGCCTGGAGTCCACGGTGTTCCACGCTTGGCGAGGCCTTCAGCTTCGCTTAATAGGCGACTTAGATCGCTCCCCTGTCGGAAAAGGCATGGGAACTGCAAAGGAGACGGCTCACTGAAGGTCCTGGACCCCACGCGTAGGCTTCCCAAAAACTCCCGTGTCCATACTAGTCTCATCAGTCCAGAAGCTCTGCCGTCCATCTGAAAATTGGGCTATGTGACTAGACCAAACATCCGGGTTTGATTTGCACGTAGCATCCGAGTCCAAAAACTGATGCCGATGAACATCCAACATCCCAAGCTGCGAAGTGCACTTGAAGGATGCGCAGAAACGAGCCTTCCAGTAGAAGTTTACGAAACGGAGCGAGGTTGTGCATCTTTGGGCTTTCTTCTGGCTCATGTGCTGCAGTAGGGGTGGGGGGGACTGCTGTCCGCTGCCTTGCAGAGGTGCCGGGCCATTGAGGGGGTTTGGGTCGCATACGGCACGGGGGTTTACGATATTCGGGGTGCCCTGTTTGGGGAAAAGGAATCCTACTATTTGGGGGTCTATATTAGGGGTCTCGTTTACTTTCGTAAACGCATCATAAGACTCTGTGCAAAGTGCGTGCCTGCGAGCTTGTTTTGTCTCGCTGGCAGCGTTCTCGGGCAGGTGCGGCCAGATGCATTCCAATGTGTCGGGAGCTAAGCCACCCAAGGCTCAAAGCTAACATGCTTGACAGCAAAGCTGAACTGAGAGTGATCCTTGAAAGAAGGGGTTTGAGAACAATCCCAGGACTGGGAAAGCCGGCTGTGGATCCAGCCGTGGAGACCTCAACGACATACCGACTCCATGTCGGTTTGCAGTTTCGCTGCTCAGCATGGCCGAGGGGAAGACATGGGGTTGAAAGGGTTTGTCGCTTTCGTGGATCCTCTCTGCCAACCAACCCTAGTGCACACAGCTGCTCAGCTTCGAAAGAAATTTGGGCGCTGCTTGGTTAGACAGCTTGTTGCAGGCCCGAACCCGACGGAAGCAGAGGCAAGGCAGCTCTCTTTTGCTGCTGCTTGTGCAATCTTCGCTGTCGGCTGCTCATAGCCAGGGGCACATTGATCTACTCTGTTTTGGAACCCCCTCCACCCAACGACCAGCAGCTTGTGTCGACATACTGCGCGCGGTTTCCGCAAAAAGTGTAATCTGGGCTTACAGCTTGCTTCAACTCCCCTAAGATTCGAATTCTTTGCTGCGGCTACTGCATGTAAGTCCTGCCTGCACCGGCCGTGCCACCTTCGGGGCCCTAGCTTTCGTTCTCCCTGCTCTCAAGTTAACCTGCTCAAGAGCTGCGTGTTCAGAAAATATCAGGACATTTTGTTCGCCAATCGGGTGTCCATCTCACCCTCAAGCTTTTGTATGTTGCGGCACTTGCCAGGGCCTTCCAGCACCTATGCCAGTTGGGTTGCTGAATCGGGTGCCCTGCGCTTAGTCGTGCGGATAGGAAAGACAGATACTTGGGGTCCTGGGGATGCAAACTCTGCAATCCTCCTTGCGCAGCTTCACACCGCCACAAGCCTGAGAGCGAAGCTGGGACCTGCAACGCGCGAACGAAGTTTCATTGGGCAGCAATCAGTTTGGCAGGTGTCGCACTTGCGTGACTGGGTTGAAGGGCAGTCGGGTTGCCCAGGCAGAGCCTCGAGGCAAAGCTCGAGGAGCGGGGCAGCAGGGGGTTTAAGGTGAATTTTTGGGGGTTGGCGATGTTGGGGTCGTACCTTAGTGGGGTCCTGACTATACGGGGATCCTACATGATCCTACCATTTGAGGGGCCGATATTAGGCTTCCATTATTCTCGTAAACCTCCATTTGCTGGAGGGTTTGGACATGTTTTGTGGTGCAGAGCCTGTTGTTGTCCGAGCAGCTCTCGGGGCTCTCTTGCTCTCTTGCTCTTGCCTTCACTGAACTGCTCTCTCTGCCGTGTGGGCCCGAGAAGATTGGCACGACCTGGCACATTCAGTGTCTTACGAGAGCATAGAAGATTCCGTTGGACAGAAGCGAACATGAACTTCGCGCGCGAGGACATCTTGAATCAGCACATCAGCTGCGCTATATCATACCTCCTCATGCGGGTCTGCTGGCCATAGTCCGGCCATGCAATGTGCGTTTCGTGCATTACGGTGTTTCGAGCTCAGGACACCCATCGCATGGTTCCCAGGCATGGCCGGCGCCTGTGGACCTTCCAAAGAGGACTGCAAGTCCAAGTCGGACTGGAGCCGTTGCTTGAAGGAAATCTCAGGAAAGCTCACTCTGGGCATACCGAAAACATGTAAGTTGTAGTGCAGCTGGTGCAGAAGCACCAACGAGGCTTTGAAAGTCAAGCAAGCACCATGCCTCCCGACCCCACCGAGCACTACCTGCGGTCCATCAGATGGGGCCTGAGTTTCGGAGACTGCAGATCTGCCGCATCGTCGTGTCCAGATTTTCTGGCGCCGCAGCAGCAATCAACAGCTCAGGCAGTGACAGCGCCGAGAGCGGAGGACACAAAGCCTGTCAGGTGGAGGAGGAGGAGGTATCTGATGAAACGAAGGCAGGGTGTGTTGATCCGGAAACCAGGGTCAGTGACATGTGTGGCGTTTGGTGCGAAAGGGCACACTGCAGAGACTCAGGCCAAGTTGAAGCAGGATGAGTATGATGACGAAAGTGCGTCCCTGCTCCAAGACTTCGGCTTCGAGGGCAGCTTTGCTTCTTGGGCAAGGGAGCTGGTAGCATCAGCAGGCTTCGTTGTCAGCGTGGCCTTTATGCTGCTAGTAGGGCTGGCACTTGCGAGCATGTGGTCCTCGACAGCCAGCTGGACCTGCTTTGTGGCAGCCAGGGTGATTCTGGTTCTGGCATTTTTAAGCGGCGCCTGCATGCTCCAGGCGTCGGGGCCAGTCAAAAACTGCGACAGCTGCGATGTGTCGCCATACACGACCGAAGATGCATCGTGAGGGCTTGGCTCCAAGCCGTGCTGCCTCAGTATGTCTACTCTCAATTTATCAATTGCGCCAAGTGTGTGTAGGGGTCTATCCAGGCCACGACATATTTTTGTGGGTGGACCTGGGGGGCTCTTTTTAACTGTTCGAGCTGCGCTTCATTTGTTTGAATCGGAGCTGAAGCGACCCACGCACTTGTGCTTGAACAGCGTTGCCCATGGTCTCATGGTACAGATGACATGACCCCGTGGCATCCAGAACTAGTCTCGTGGCTGCAGAAGGCAGCCTCAGGGTTCCATGACTTTCGTGATTTCTTTTGGGTTGTGCCCTGTGCAAGAAAAGGCCTGGTGCCCGTTTGCAGGTTGGCAAGCTGTGCGATATTCTGATGTTCCATCCCGAACTCGAATCAATCCTACCTCATGTGTGACAAACTGGGAGGAAGTCACTGACAAGTGTTCCCGGCCACAACCTCGAATTTGTTCTATCAGCGTTACAGCAGCATGAGAACAATTTGCAGCAGAGTATGCCTTTGACATTTCATGCTTGTGGTATTGAAGTGGCTGACTTCGGCGTGCTTGTTTCGACGCTGTGCCTGGTGCTTGGTCCAACTTGCCTGCGCCAAGGTTAGAGAAGGAAAACAGCAGTTTGCGAGACTGGGCTTGGCGCCTGGGAGCTTTGGAGCTTTGGAGCTTTGGAGCTTTGGAGCTTTGGAGCTTTGGAGCTTTGGAGCTTGCGTTAGTGTCGGGTCGAATGACTCGGTATGTTGCATTTTAATGTGAATCGCTGCGTCTAACAGTCTAGCACTTCGTAGTAGTTCCCAAAGCCCTAGATGTCTCGGCTTTCTAGATGATACCACAGACTGTGCGGCGTTTGTGAAACTCGTGCTCAGCTTAAGCCAGGGCTGTTTGGGTGTTAATTGCTTTGTCTCAGTTGCTAAGCCTTTCAGCGGTCAAAGGATGGCAAAAAGGTTGGCCGGCTATGGTCTCGAGCACGGAGCCGTAGATTGGCAAGAACTAACGAAAGTCATGGTTGGAATTTGAAGAGGGTGGCCCCACGTGTTTTGCCCATGGCTATGCTGGTGTCTGCGGGCGTTCGCCAGCCTGCGCTGCTGCATGCTGGCCGTTCAGCGCGACGGCCAAGCGGGAGGTGCCCGCCAGCAGCCCAGTACCTCGCACATAGGCGTTCGCCGGGATGTTGTCCGAAAGAGATTGCGCCCTGCCTGTGCAGTGCTGGCCAGGACCAGGGCATTCGCATGGATTGGCCTCGGCTGCCGAAGCTGTGCCATAGGCCTGCCGGCAAGATGTAGGGCAAGAGGTATTGCTCAAGGTCTTGTCAGATCGTATGTGTTGGCAGAGTTCTCGCGCAGGCTCGTTCGTGTTCGCGGGCCGGATCATAAGTCGACGGCGTCACGCGCAACCCTGCTTGCCATCTCTACTGAGAACCTCCGGCAGCTGGGGTGAGCAGAAGTCGCACGGGTGGCCTCGGGGGCTTGACAAGCTGGCACATGCAGCGCAGGGTTCCGAGGAAGGTCAGCCATCAGGCT